GCTGGAGAGCAGTCATAATCTTGACTCACTGCAACCTCCACCTCCCAGGTTCAAGCAACTCTCCTGCCTCAGCCTCCCAAGTAGCTGGGATTACAGGCACTCACCACAATGCCCAGCTAATTTTTGTATTTTTAGTAGAGACAGGGTTTCACCATGTCTCTACTAAATTTATCAGGCATGTCTCGAACTCCTAACCTTGTGATCCACATGCCTCAGCCTCCCAAAGTGCTGGGATTACAGGCATGAGCCACCGCGCCTGGTCTTCTTTATCTGTTGATGCACACTTAGGTTGAGTTCATATCTTGGCTCTTATAAGTTGTGCTGCAATAAACATGGGAGTTCACATGTCTTAGATACACTAATTTCCTTTCTTTTGGATATACACTCAGCAGGGGGACTGCTGGATCATATGGTAGTTCTTTTAGTTTTTTGAGAAACTTCCATATTGTTCTCCACAGTGGCTGTACTGACTTACATTCCTACCAACAGTGTATGAGAGTTCCCCTTTCTCCACATCCTCACCAGTATTGGTTATTGCCTGTCTTTTGATAAAAGCAAATTTAATTGGGAAAGGATTCTACTGTGTCTGAGTGATGGCTTCAGGATTCTGTAATCTGAACTAATTGACCACATTCTTATTCCTTAAATTCCAACCCTAAAAAAACATGTGCCTTTGCCAAGACAACCCATCCATTACATAAGCTGTAGCTTATAAAGTGCTTTTCAGGTATGAAATGTCAATGAAAAGGATTATTTTCTTCTCTATCTTCACTTGTCAATAAAACTTTGGCAAAAGTCATTCTCCACAGAAAGTTCAAAGGTTACTTTAGAAAAACATTATTAGTTAATAGGATGTGGAGGAAGCTAGTGAGAACCCTAAGATAGGTTCTCCTCCTTTGGGAAGTCATTAGCTTTTACAGAGAATGCATAAAAGCTCTGCTAACCAAAAATAATATTGGTCCCAAAGTTATTCAAAAGTCGACTAACTTTAGGACAATTATTTGAGCAATTAAAAAAATTCAGCTGTTAGACTTCACTTCTTTACATCTTGATATGCAAAAGGAGGAATAGTGCATACTGTCCACTTGCGGGAAGAAGTATGTAAAGGTGCATCTGTGTGTTTATAATAGCACTACTTTTAAGAGTACAAAAACTAAGAGAACTTATATTTCACTCCAAAACCTTAACAACTTAATCTTTATATAATCTATTAAGGTTAGATGTTAACTTGTTTATTTTAAAGATAGGGTCTTGCTCTGTCACCCAGGATGGAGTGCAGTGGCACCATCATAACTCACTAACATTAAACTTCTGGGCTCAAGAAATCCTCCTGTCTCAGCCTCCCAAAGTGCTGGGATCACAGGCATGAACGACCATGCACAGCCTAAATACTGTTAATTTCAAATGACTTCCTTCCTAGTCAGCAAATGTTACATTTGGCTCATTTAAGACTTGACTTAGCTAACAAAAAAATCGTGTGGCCGAAATCTTTGGGTATATAGTTGTGTCCCTGACAGTGACGGTAGCATGCAATATAAATTCTGAAATTCAGAAGTATCTTGAAGGCTCGCCTGCTGGAGGGCAATTTGCTTTGTAAATAGAGTCAGTGACACCAGTGGAAGAGATTCTAGTACCTCTACAATCAGGGAAATCAAGACCCAAGGCCATAGAAAAACAGCCCTATTTGTATTTTTAAAGCAGTCTACCAACCCACTGGATCTTGGGCCTCCAATCAAACTAGTATGATGTTGGAACCATTATTGACTATCAGAGCAAAAGTCCATCTTTGAAGTTAATAGGTCTTTTTAATTAAAAAAGCTAAACTAAACTAGACTGCTGCTCATTGATCACAGCAAAGCTTACTGATGGTTTTTTATTCTGTCACCTTTTGCAAAGAGAGGTGTGTGAGGAGCAATATAGTATCTAGATCCTTTGAGACTGAGAGGCATATTTAAACAGCTCACCTATTATTCTAACATCCTGATTTTTATCAATAGGGATTGAATCATATTAGGCAAATAGGGTATCTCTGATTCCTGATTGCTCTTAGGAGATTTTGAGTATCATCAGTTTTTAAAATATTGATTTCATAAACAGTGTAATTTCCTGGGGGCTGAAAGAGGTGCTGTGGATATCAAAAAACACTGTTGATGTCCAGTACAACTGCAGGCACTCCTCCAACCTTTCCAGGTAAGGGCAACACATAGTTTTTCCCTGTATCAAGATGGATGGCCTAAAAAATAAAAGCCTGCTTACAACAGTGGGGAAAACAATTGTAATTAGAAAACTCCTCAAAAATATACAACTTAAAGTCCCCATAAGATCCCAAGGGAAGAACAGGCCAAATGTGGTTGCATCATTCAAATGGCAGTGTATACACATATGTCCAAGTACAGATGGTTACTATCAGGTAATAACAATAGATACTGATGGAAACCTTTCAGATCCCAATAATTTAATCTTTTGTGCTCAGAAGTGACACAGAAAGCTTAATTTTCTTCAGAATGTAAGAAGTGAGAAAATCTTCATATAATAGGCTGAGATGACTGTCATCATTTTCTACTAAAAATGGTGACCAGAACTAGAGCAAATCCATCTTAGAAAATCAAGGAACCAGCTTTTTAAAAATTAAAGGAATTGTCTACTTGACCATAAATCAAAAGATGAATGTATGAAATACAATACGTAATGGTAGTTCTCTAACTTCAGAGGGGCTCAGGAAATCACCTGGATGCTTGTTAAAAGGCAGATTCCTAATCTGACTTCCAAAGACTCTGATTCTATAAGCCTGAAGTAGTACCTGGACATATATCTTAATAATACAGACCAAGGATATGGAAACAAGCACTCTGAGTATATTTTAATTAATGGGAGCTCAGCACATAATTGTTACTAATCTTCTGTTAAATAATTTGTAACAATGGTTGCCAACATTTGAGGAAAATGAGAACACTTTCAGAAACTATGTGACCTACTTCCAAAAATATGCAGGTACACCCACAACACTTTGCATACAGTGAGGTTCCAGTATCCTCTGAAAACCCCAAGTAAAGACGCCCAGGCTAAAATGACATTCTGGTACATATCTGCACATAACTCAGCTGAGGCTGTAGGTTCTTCAATAAATTTAGGGTTACTTTATACAAACTATCTTTGATAATGGTCACACATATGTGAATTTCACCTAAGAATTAGTTGGCATCTATAAAATTTCTTGGCAATGTCAAGTTCAGTAAGAATCACTCATGATCTCTCCCCAAAAGTCTCAAAAAAAATTTAGTCTCTAGTCACTGAAAGTTTCTTATAATCTTAGACCCATGAAATTATCAAAATGGGGAGGTTCTTAAATGCAAAAGGTTCCGATAGATTTATGACAGAATTGAAAACATATATGCTCTTCAACTTACATTATGTTTTGATAAACGCATCATAAATTGAAGATATCATTAAACAAAGATGCTTTTAATACACCTAACCTACCAACCATAGCTTACCTAGCCTACCTTAAACATGCTCAGAACACTACATTAGTTTACAGTTGGGCAAAATCATCTAACACAAAGCCTATTTTATAATAAAGTGTTGAATATCTCATGTAATTTATAGAATATTGTAGTGAAAGTGAAAAAGGCAGCAGTATGGGTACTTCAAGTACGGTTTCTATTCACTGCACTGCATTCAGACCATCATAAATTTAGTTGAAAGTTTGTAATTCAAATCCTAAGTTAGATTGTCTGTACTTTTAACAGTTAATGTTAGAAATAAATTTTAACAACTTTATCACATAATATAGGATATATTTTACATGTTATAAGGGTGTAGACAGAGTATCTTGTGAAAACAAATAACCCTTTTAAAAAACTAGTAAATTTACCTGAACAATGTATCATAGCAATCTTAATAGCACATAGTATTTGCTAACTGAACTTCGTGGACTGATTAAGACTTTTTCTGGAACTATACTATACTACCACTTCCATATCAAAAATACACTAGATAGAAATGCATGTTAGTAAAAATTGTTTTAAAAAGTAGTTTTGTAATAAAACTTGACAGAAGTTCAACTTACTAAATGTATTAAGATTAAAAAAAAAAATCTGAAGTAGGTATCACATCACATAATAGGAAAAAACTCCCAAAAAGTCACTGTCCAGGAAGAACAAGGAGAACATCAAGATGTTCTAAGCAATTTCCTGAATAGCAGGAAATGAAAGGCTGGAGAGGCTGGGTTTTTGATCAGTTTATGTTCTTTTTCTGAATAGGCTTACTCATTATTATGATGAAAGATAACACACATAATATTAAAAACTAAAATCTAATGGTTCTACTGTCACGATTGTCAGTTAATGTTCAACTAGGAAAAAAGTTCATTTGGTTCCCTTTCTTAGGGGAAAAAAGTCAATCTCTAGGACCATTTTAGAACTGTACAACTTTTTTCTTTACACTATTAGCATGAGCTGTAGTAAGCTGCTTTACTGAGACAATTAAACATATCCTTCAAGGCAACACTGCCCATTTCCACACTGATGAAAAGTTTTTTTCAGTTATGAAAGGGATATTTCTTTTTCATTTCCATAACTTTATTCAGATGATCATTTCAATCATATAAAAATAACAGATGTATCAAGGTCCGTCTTGGATGTTTCTTCTTCTGGTAAAAAATTAGCTGGGCACGGTGGCTCATACCTGTAATCTCAGCACTTTGGGAAGCTGAGGTGGGTGGATCACTTGAAGTCAGGAGTTTGAGATCAGCCTGGCTAACATGGCGAAACCCCGTTTCTACTCAAAATACAAAAGTTAGTCGGATGCAGTGGTATGAGCCTGTAGTCCAGCTCCTCGGGAGGCTGAGGCAGGAGAATTGCTTGAACCCAGAAGGTGGAGGCTGCAGTGAGCCGGGATCACGACACTGCACTCCAGCCTGGGAGACAGAGCAAGATTCTGTCTCAAAAAAAATAACATTAGCAGACTATTTCTAAGTATAATTTAACTAAAAACACTACTCAACTTCAAATTTACTTTAATGATATATACAGGAGTTAACAACTTACAATTAAAACAATCAGTTATGTTAATTTCACATAACTTAAAATCATGCAATACTGCATGGTAAAAACAACAGCTTTGTTCATATACAAAAATTGTTATTTTGAGACTCATGAGAGCATCTTGAAATTTTTGAAATAAGCTTTTTGCAAAGAGTATTTTATAAAAATTTAAACACCTGATTACTTAGTTAATGAAGTATTAGGAAAGATAATGAACATTATTAGTAAAGTGAGGTTATAAGCAATTAGTTTTAAAATTACACCAAGTACAGGGTTGAACATAATCTCAAGAAATAAATGTTTAAGAAAATAGTTTTGAAAAAGATCTCATATTGAAGCCAGGTTAAATTTTGTTAAACTGGGTTATATAAATCAATAGTCAAGTTTATTCAGTTAAAGAAAATATGCCTAACCTTTCTTATACTCATAAATAAGGACTTATATATAATCTTTATATACAAGTGAAGAAAAGTTCAATCAAAAAAATATACTGCCAATCCACTTATTATGGCTGAAATAATTATTTATCTACACATTAGATTGCATTGATGAAAATGTCCAATTTAAATCACATTCAACCAGCATAAATATTTAAGCTGAGTATTGTTGTAAACAATAGAGAAAAAAATCCTTTTAATTTTGTATTTCATTACTAGGTAACAATCTACTTCTCAGCTTAGAATGCTATAGAAAGCCTCCACATTTAATTTAATCAAATCCAAACCCAATAAATTTAAGAGTAAACAAAGTGAATGTTTTTCAAAGTGCGTAATTTCCAACTCATCCACTTGTGATATTTATCCAATTCCAGTTCATCAGCAAGAAAATAAAATGTACTTGACTATAAAAATACTCAGGAATGTTATCGAAAAGGAAAGGCTATTTTGTAGAAGTAACTACAAAAATAATTAGTTTAAATCTTTGTAAAGCTTTAATGTAAGAACATCAGTACACTTTCTTTACATAAACCTTAAAGCATGATCAATACCAAAATTTTAAATTTCCAGCTTTCAAGTACTTGAAAGAGTTGCAACAAAGTGTCTCTTCCCAAAAAAGCAAGAAGAATGATCATGCAGGTGTTAATCTGCAGCCATCTGAGGACACTGATGTCTGTGCTGGGCTGTCATCTCTGACTCCACTGGCAGCAAGTGTAGGCAAGGTGTTACTTTGAAATGCAGATGTAGGACAAGGAGTCATGCCAACATTTTCCTCTTCATCATCATCTGAATCTGGTGTTGTAACTTCACTGTCTTGAAGCCCAAGGATCTCACAGACTGCTTGTGGCAATTCCTGGATATGAAAAATCAAACAGAAAATCATCTTTTACTACAGAGGAAAAATAACCACAAAGTAACACTTCTGTTTAAGACTACACTGATTCCAGAATCTGAGCATTTGTCCTAACAGTGTAAATGTACTTATGTAACGTTCTCACAACTTATCTTCTCAGTTCCAAATAAAATGCTAACCACCTTTCCCTAAGTGAGTCTTAGATAGCTTTCAAATTAGACCCTCTCCATTCCACCTCCACATTCCCACAAACCTAGCATTTCCTAATATTTGGCATTTATGTCTTTCTCCGTTTTGTAATATCTTACTTAGACCATCTTTCTCTCTCATTAAACAGAAGTTCTTCAAAGGCAAAAAGTCTCTCATTGACATACTTTGGAAGAGAACAGCTACAGCTATCAAATAAATGTTTGTGGAAATGAACGAGAGAGAGAGAGAGAGAAGGAGAGAGAGAGCGCACGAGCGCGCAAGCGCACCAAAGTGCTGCTGGAGATACTGCATATTTAATACAAGAGCCTATTCTGCATTCATGAGTTCAACTAAATAATATATAATTGCTGAAATTCCACAGCCTCATTGTTATAGAAATATTTTCATTACTTTGACCACTTTACCTTATTACTGTTTCCTATATGCCATAGTTAGTCAACTGTTTTCAATTAAGTGCTGTAAATCTAGAAGGGCAAACAAAAAGCCAGCCTATACTTTGTGTCTGCCCTCAACTTGCTAAAATTGCTATTTTATTTCCAAGAAGAGAAATCTTTCTTGATCTCAATCCACCAAAAACAAACAAATCTTGCAATTACTCAAAACACTGTATACCTTGCATTTTACCATCTGTAGAGATATTGCTTCTGCCTTGCATAGTATATCTTCCACATCAATTTTCAAGGACAATTCATTGATATGCTAAAAAGTATGAACAAAACAAAGTGATAATCAAACTGAATGTACTATTATATTCTACTATATAAACAATTTATTACCAGTTATATTTCACTGCAGATAAAATCCTTAAAATAAAAACATTCATATACTACAAATACACAGGAAATCCAATATATCTTTCATTAGATTATTTCAAGTTTTAAAGCTAAAGACTAGCTAATAAGCTTATGGAACATTAAATCTAGCAGCTATCCCAAGTCTGCTTTGTCAAAGTTATAATCAAAAGACAATTAATTTTTGGCAAACCAAACTACATAAAAGAGCACTTGCTGAATTTCCTTTTCTTCCTTCTTAGCCAGGTAGAAATAACTGGCCAATATGTATTTGAACTGTCATTCTGAGAGAGTCATTCCTAGCACTGTTACTGACACAATTTAAGTTACTTGAGATTTAATAACGTTCCAAGGAAATGTTCAGTATATCAGGACCACCAAACAGAAGAGCCAGAATACCAAAAATCTAAGTTAAAGGAATAACTACCTTAAGTATTTCATTGAAGCCATAATGTTTTTCCATTATTTGCTGCTTTTCTGATTCCAGAATAGCACAACAGAGAAGAAGATGGAAATTTTTACATGGTAGTTCGGTCCACATTACCTACAGAAGGCAGAAGAACTATTTACTATATTGACTCTAAAATATTTTCCTCACTGATACAATTCTGAACACTGAATGACTTCCATGCAAAGCAGATGTTGCCTATTTAGGGAAGTCCAAGGTTTTTCTAGCTAGAAAACGAGGGGAAGGCCAGGCGCGGTGGCTCACGCCTATAATCCCAGCACTTTGGGAGGCCAAGGCGGGTGGATCATGAGGTCAAGAGATCAAGACCATCCTGGTCAACACGGTGAAACCCCGTCTCTACTAAAAATACAAAAACTTAGCTGGGCATGGTGGCGCAGCCTGTAGTCCCAGCTACTCAGGAGGCTGAGGTAGGAGAATTGCTTGAACCCAGGAGGCGGAGGTTGTGGTGAGCCGAGATCACGCCATTGCCACTCCAGCCTGGGTAATAAGAGCGAAACTCCGTCTCCAAAAAAAAAAAAAAAAAAAAAAGAAAGAAAATAAAACGAGGGGAAACAGAGTCTTACCTTCAGCTACAAAGTAACTATCAAGTTTAACATTACATGAATATGACATATTCTAAGTGTGGCTCTTTAAGATAACCATAGTAAAGAAATTACTGAGCCTAACCAATATGACAAATGTTATTAATGCAGGAGCTACAGCCACAGGTTGTAAGGGTTAGATGCATTTTCAATTATTTTTCTGAAATAGCAGTTTGCCACTTCAATCTGAAAAAAAGACTAAAAAGCTAACTCCTGGAAATAAAACAGGTTCGGTTATACAGAACATGGAATCAGAAACACCCAGAAGCAGTTCTACATTCTAAATACGTAAAACCCTTGCATCACATTATATCCCTGATTGTGACAATAACTGTATTTACTACCTCAAATTTATAACCAAACATATAAAATGCTTGATCAATAGCTATAGCTCTTCCTAAAGTCAGATAGTACGCTCAAATTTAGGGTCCTAATTTCCACCTCCTTCATGTACCTAATAATATCTTTTCTGGAAAGATAAAAACATGCACACAAAGCGTACTATTAGACCATACCTGAAATGTGTTTACTTTTTTCAAAAGGTGTAAATCAAGTTGAATAATTTTCAAACTAAACCCAATTGTTGAAAGTTTAATTATAATGCAATTAACCTCAAAGTTTCCATTAAAAGTTTGAATTTATTTAGTAAACACAGACTGAGGAGTTATTCTAGCTATGTGGCAATAATATTCTTAATTCATCCTTTAAAACCCATTTATGCCTGAGATTGCAACTTTTTGAATTTTTGCAATCAGACCTTCATGATGACCTTGAGCAGCAGGATATAAGTAACTCCCACATGCTTAGCATTCCAATAATGGAACACTAGGCATAAATGAGTTAACCCATTTTTAACCCATAAATTAAGATACTAACTTAACAAAATTGATAAACATTTAAGTATGCTTCCACATAAAGAGCAAGCATGTGGGTTTTACTTCTAATTTCAGAACAGAGGAAGTGAGCACAAAGCAATCAACTTTTAATTAGCACAATGCCTTGTCTAATGGCAGCAGAGCCATCAATAGCATAGGAATCAATTTCCAGCTGTAAAAACCTCAGAGACCACTAGAGTTCTGCTGTATAAAGTTGTATTTATTATCAAAATGGATTGTCTCCCAATTCTTTCCTTGGAAAAATTTCTGTTATCCTAAGGTATGATCAATCATTACACCAGTATTCTATTAAAAAGCACACTGAGCTGGGCACAGTGGCATATACCTGTAGTCCAGGCTACTTATAAGGCTGAGGCGAGAGGATTACTTGAGTCCAGAAGTTCAAGATCAGTCTGGATAACATAGCAAGACCCCTTCTCTTTAAAAAAACAACAAAAAAAAGCACACTGATTTATTACTAACTAATACTTAAGAAAATGTGAAATTATTTTGTTTTTCATTAAGGGTTGCCCTGGAACAGCAGACACTGGGGATTATACATGGAGGGGGATGGTGTGAGAGAGACATGGGATGTAAAACTACCTATGGGTACTATGCTCATTACCTGGGTGACAGAATCATTCCCACACCAAACCTCAGCAACATGCAATTTACCTATGTAAACAACCTGCACATGTACTCCCTAAACCTAAAATAAGAAGTTGAAGAAATAGAGTTGCCCTGGGTAAAAAATGGAATAAAGGAAGTACATCAAAAACATAAGGATATCCTCCATACCAGATGTGACAAAGCCTGACATAAAGTCAAGTCTCTCAAAGGAAAAACAAAGGCAGCAAATGGCCTAGAGAACTTGTTCTGGGATACCTCTTGGCCCCAAATCTCACAGAGATTGTCATTTGAAGAACAAAGCTTGAAAGACCAGATATTCAGTGTGAGACTAATTTTTAAGCAGAAGCTATAAGTTCATCAGAACTTTGGAACATTCTTGCATTAGATATTTCAGTAAGGCCATCACAATTCATTTATACTCTACAGAATAAATTGTTTCTTTTCATAATAAATATATTTGTATAATAATTTAAGGACTTACCTCCCATAATCGAAGAATATCTAGAAAACTAAATTCCCTTTTGAATCTGATTAAAAGCCATCTGAAGCAGAAGTAAAGGTATCCTGAGTCCTGAGATTCTATACAGAGGAAAAAAAACATACATATGACTTACTCTTATGTTAATTATGTCCGAATACAGTTATATTTCTCTAATTTTCCTATGTATCTTAGGCAATTCAAAGCCCTATACACTTGTCTTCTACTACGTTAAGGAATCATTTCAAATTTGAAGGCTAACTTCTTTTTAAAAACTAAAAAATAATAAATAATACATTTGATGAATCGAGTTTAAGGCTGAATTATACAAAGAGAGTTTGGTCTCATACTTTTATGAAACTGAAGAAAGTACATGTAGTGCAGTAGAGTATGTATGTCTTTAAGTTCTTTTTCAAAACAAGGTCTTGCTATGTCGCCCAGGCTGGAGTACAGTGGAAAAATCAAAGCTCACTGCAGCTTCAACCTCCTGGGCTCAAGCAATCATACCACCTCAGCCTCCCGAGTGGCTGGGACTATAGGGGTGCACCACTACAGCCAGCATTTTTTTTCTTGTAGAGATGGGGTCTCACAGTGCTGGCCAAGCTAGTCTCAAACTACTGCGTTCAAGTGATCCTCCCTCCTCAGCTTCCAAAGTGCTGGGATTAGAGGCATGAGCCACTGCACCTGGCTTCTTTAAGAGTTCTTTACATTTTTTTCTATGCATTAACCTACAGTTTGCTGAGTATAGCTCTAATTCACTAAACTTACCTAAGTAACTGCAAAATCCACTGTCCAACAATCGAAGCAAGGTACTCAGTTGAATTAGCTGGGTCTTCATGCCTTGCATTTGCTCTTCAAAATTCTGATGCTTTAAAAGGAAATAATTGTAACTATACAAGAAATATTTAATAAATACTTTATAGTATATAATGACTAATAACAAAAACATGATGTCTAAGGACAAATACTAAACTTATACCACACTGGTTATCTTAAAAATGTTTAGCTAATCAAAAAGCTAATGTAACACTGAAAAGGAGGGTAAGGAGAAAGAATCCTTGGTCTCAAAACTAAGGATTATTTTTCCCTCTATTCATCTGACTTAGATAAAGAAGAATGCAGACATAGCAACTGCAGACTGACTAAGATATTTATTTCTTACACAGCATGAAGGACTTGGTGAAAGAAACACACATTTGGGAAATAAATATTTATCACATTATTTCCATTGTTAAATATTCCTTCAAATTACCATATATAATAAAATTAATTTTAGTTTTAATATGTATTTCATTTTAAAGAATTAATTGCTTCTTAGGTTTGATGACATTAGAGAATCTGTAATTTTCAGGATAATACTAAAACATTATCTGGATTTCGTATTTTAATTCTTTCACAAGTGCAAAGGCTGTATGATGAGTGATACTGCAACAGACTGAACACAGAAGCAGATATGAAAATCCAGCGGTCTTCTATTAAACCAGACATTTTTGAAAATAAAAAATTTAAAACAATTCCTTGTGCCAGTAAATTTTTCATTAGGAAAAGTTACTTTTCATTAAAAAAATGTTAATCCATGTTAAGGTGAAATGTATTTATTGTTATTATTTAATGAATTAATAAATAAGTGAATACGAATTTCTCAGTGTAAATTTTTCACATAAACATCAACAGATATAACCCACATAAACAAAAACTCATACTATGGGAGAGTGTGAAGGGGTCCCGAGGTCATAAAGTTTGAGAACTGCTGGGGTTTACATGCTTTACACAATCTTCAAAGTTGAGTAGACTCCCTATGAACACCTGAGTCAAGGGGCCAGAAGGTACCAAAACAGATGCTCTGAAAGGCTTCTTAAATAATTTGGTTCCCTTTAACTCATATGTCCCAAACCCTCTGTGGTAACCTACTGCCCAACCCTAGTGAAAGCCTTAGAACAACATTTCCTCCTTCATATTTACTTTTTCACTTTTATAGTACAATAGTGCTTTATTAGAACTATCATATTAGAAACAATTCATTCTTGAGTTAAAAACAACTTAAGGTTATTAATTCTCAATAAGCTGTTTCTCTTTAATGAATTTTAAAAACTAGTTTAATAGACTAACTCAAGGCTTCAGGAAATAGTTCCTCCACATTTATGGGAGAGATCTACAGGGAAGGGGCAGAATCAACTCTGATTAACAGGATCGTTTTTGCTGTGACATAGTCAAAGACTAGAGCTGATTTGGGAATACCAACATGGCACAGACATTTGCTACACTCTCTGCTATAAAAAAGAAACACCCCCATAATGACAGACACCAAATTTGAAAAAGTGGTTACTCCTGAAGAAGGGAGAGTGGGATCAACAATGGATATACAAAGGGCTTCAAGTGTGTCTATAAATAAATGTGTCTGTATGGGGCAAGAGACAAAGAAAGGAACCAAAAACTACATGGCAAAATGGATGATGAGTATAACAAAGTTCATCAGATCACTCAGTACTTTGTATTTCCTAATTATAGACAAAGTCTATGCCTAGATGTAAGTAAACATCAACAAAAGTAAATTTATGGACATTAGGTTCAGCCACCACAAAAGCAGTACAAACTTACATGAAATAAAGCTACAAAACAAAAACAAAGAATGGAGAAACAGCAGCACAGTTTTAAGAATATCACACAAGGGAAATGCAGTGAAAAATAATCATACAGATTATTTTGATTGCCACGTATTGCCCTATCATTCAAATATTATGAAAGATGTTAGTAGACAATATACTAAGGAGAGATCTTTTTAGAATAAAGACTAGAAAAATCCCCAGAACATAAGTTAATGGAAAAGGCAAACAGAGAACATTTACTGTGAAAAATGACAGAACAAAGAAACTGAACCTTCATACACAAAAAAATGACAGACTGTAAAGTGTATATTACACATGTTCAGAAGGTAGTCATTACATATGAGACCTATATACATGCATACACACGTGTATGTATGTATGCCACGTGCATGTATGTGCCATTGTACATCAATATACTTTAACATATCAATGTTGATTTAGTTTTATTGAAAACTATTACTTCACGAACTAAATGCAGTATGTTCATCTTAGTTTTATTTTTATATTTTAGAATATGTAGTACAGCAATTTAAACTAATCACTGGGGAAAGATTGACAAGCTTATTCTATAAAAATCTGTTGAACAACCTCATGTCAGGCATTAGGAAAATTCTGGTATGCAACCAGTGACGGACAAAGATATAATTCCTTTTAACAAGGAACATACTAGCTCTGGTGAAAAGAGGATAAACAACAAAAACACAAAGGCAGACAATAATTTTTATGTAATTAGTATCAGTTGTACAGACCTTTATAACAAATGCCTCAGGTTTCTAGAGTGCTGGGAGTAAATGGAACTAAGAAGGTAGGCAAATCAATCAATCAAAAAAGTAAGGAAGTCAAACTATGATACTACCGAATTACTGCATTGATTATCCTTCCAAATAAAAAAAAAACATTAATTTATGGCAAAGAAACAATTTTAATATTTATGTTAAATAAATATTAAACAATTTAACAGTAAAAGAACACTTTAAAATTATCACATCTTATCAAATACACATTTAGAACAAACTGAAAGACGTGAGAACAAGTTGAATCTATGGACAAGAGACCTGAAAAAACAGCCAAAAGTGGGGAAAATTTGAGGGAGGAAAAAAAAATAGGCAAGCAAGAGGAAAAGAATAGACATAAAGAAGAAAAGAGAAGGTCACATTTGTATCTCAGAAACTCTGATTTAAACCCTATATTACAGGAAAATATTCCAGATGGTTATAGATTTAAAATGCTTATCTCCATCCAAGCAAGCCATTTCAATATGCGACATAAAGGCCCAGCATCAAGTATATTAGTCTTATCTTGAAAAAATACAGGAACCTATGCAGTCAGATCTTTGGATTTCATGTGCCTTTATCCATGCCTTCTGCTTTTTTTTTCCCCTCTAATAGATTACTTGAAGAGATTTTTCTATTTTATTTCCCTGTCAATATTCTCTGCACTATTGTCCTAGAACTCTCTCTCAAAGATTTAACAATGATAATAAATAAAAATGTTCTTTGTACTAACATGCATATATAGACATAGTTCAATTCTAATAATCATGTATTTCTGGGAAAATAACAAATTCTTAATAAAGTGCCAGTTAGAAACAGTTCAAACACATCTGGAGAAAAATCAGTTACTATAATGACAAAATTCAAAATGGTCACAAAAGGTAAGGATATTACTTGCCATGACTAAGCTTTATCTCTAAAACAGATGATATTAAAGTTCAACTATTTCACAAAACTGAATTCATTTATCAATATTCTATAATGATTCATGGCTCTTTTGTAGAACATAAGCATTTACTGATATTAAATCCTGAATATTCCTATACTACAGGCACAAACTATTTCCTGTATTAAAAACACCAGTATTTCTAAGTCCTTGAATGGCTACTAAAAAGAAAAAGACAACAAAAGGCATGAAGCAATTTTTTTTAAGTTCTGTCACAGTGGATTAAATATAAAAATCAACCTTATACTATAAAATTATACAACTAAAATTTTCAAAATCAGTTTAATGGAAGGAATCCCTGTTCTTACCATCTGGTCCATGTAAGAGGCAAAGCACCAAAAGGCATCCACTTCATTTTCCATCACATATAAAAGAGGGGAAAGTAAGTCACTCATTCCCTGCACATATCCTAAAAAGAACAGAAAAAATAACGTCTCTGAAAACCTAAGCTTTATGTATCCTCCTGTGCATATCACCACCATTTCACTTAAAATTGTATCTATGTTTTGGATTCAGAAATTGGTAGACATTGATGTTCACCAAGAAAAGAACATAAATGAGGGGAGAAACTCTAGTCATGAGTAAGAAAGATGAGTTGTTTCAAACTGAGATGTCAAGCAAAATATAGCTTCCAGCATGTGTCTCAGTGCAGATACACTATCAAGAGTAGGTAATATTTTTTAAAATAGAGTGCAAGATCATCATGAGAAAGAAAAGGGGTGAAGAGATAACCCAGGGAAATGTAAAAAACACAGGTCTAATAAAGACCAGTCAAAGAAGTAAAGAAAAAAATCAAGAAAGAAGAATGTTGCAAGAAATCAAGAAGAAAGTTGCAAGCCCAGAGTGGTTAACAATGCCAAACTACCACAAGTAAGCCACGTAAAATAAGAACTGAAAAGGGTTCCACTGCTTTAGCAATCAGGCCTTTAGATTCACACAAAAGGAGTTACAAAATTAAGAGTCTCTTTTAAATAGCCTTAATCTAAGTCCTTCTTTCTTTCTTTCTTTGTTACTCTCTACATCCAACCAATGCTAGCAATGGGGCTTAATCCAATCACTATTTTGTACCTAAAGTGACCACTTAACTACCTGTCTCTTGATATTACCATAATTTCTCAATGGTGACAGTAATAGAGCCCTGGATTAAAGAAAAACTGGAAAATTAAGGAGTCAGATCCCTCACTTAAAAATAAGAAAAAGTGTTAGTTTCACTTTTTCACCTGAACATGCCAAACTTCTTGTTTCTTTACTTTCTCTTATAAAACCCTCAATTATCCTTCCTTTATAATTTTCAAGACTTGAAAAATTTTCAGACTTAGATTCTTGAACCAATGAATGGACAAGAGCTTATACTAAGCCTTTTTACTTACACGTTATTCAACTTTGGTAAGTTTTGTGTATTTATTAAAATCACATAGAAATTTCTTTGTTGGTAGCTTGGGAAGTCTGGAAAATAGTCTTTCATTGGCAAATCCAAAGCTTACATTTTTATTCACCAAAAATCTATCTGCACTAAAGCCATTTAAGAATAAATGTTTAATAAAAGGAGGAGGGGATAGTTCTGCTATAATATAAATGATACCTAATTATACATTACTCTTTCTGTTTTGGAGGAAAACTTTAAAAAATGATCTCAGAAAGCCAGTAAACTAAACCACCTGAGAAACCTCAGATCAAACACACAACAGACAGAGGCACTCAGATCACCTCAGAATCTCCTTACAAATAAAGGTTCAGCTCAATTTGCTGTGAGCCTCTGTCCAATCATCTACCGCCATATCTTTCCACAGTCCTACTGACCTCACTCTGTCTACACTGCATTCTGCAGGAAAATACAGCTCTACTTACTTTAGCATAAAAGGGCACCTGAGTTCTCATGGAGGACATCCTTATAGTACCAGACAATGAAGTTACCAAAACATTTAGGGAAAAAAGCTAGACAAAAGTGACTTGTGACAAAATATCTAAATGTAATCATTTCTACAAATTTACACAGATGGTTTCTAAAATAATGTAACTTTTTAAGAAATAAGATAGATGAAAGACTAAATTGTTATCATCAGAACTTTCTTACCGGACACAGTGAACTCAACGATAAATAATAAAGGCTAAACCAATTAAAGCATGAAGGAAACCTAACCTGAATTCAACAAAGTCCAAGAGTACTACTTTACTGAGTCTGACTGTGTATGATCTACAACAGAAATATTTCAAAGTGTGTTATTCAAAAGATTTACAAAGCACCTTTTCTCTCCTAAAAAAGTGCTTTATTATTAAGTTATAGTGAATAAAAATTCCTAAGAAGCAAATTTAATCCTTTAAGTCCTCAGCTTTCACATGGAATCATTACCATATTTCTTCTGTTAAGTCTTAGGTGAAGGAAGTTGTCAAATTAATCTTCATGTTCTGGTTGCCTTTAATCTGTTTTATTTTATACATGATGTTCTTTGAGGCATGTCATGGGTTGTAGGGGGTGGAATTAATGTACAAATTCCTTTTAATTAAAGCAAGATTAAGAATGTTTAAATTAGCATTCAGTGATACTCAGATTCTGTACTACTGCTGACTGATGCACATCTTAATCAGCACAACTACAGTTTCTGAAGTAATTCCCTAAAATTACTTCAACAGCAGATTTGTTTCAGCATGTGTGTTGGGTGGGGAAAGGGGCTGAGAAATGAACACCTTATCATCCTACTGTATACTTGCTTACACCAAAAAAAAAAATTTAAACTAAATTTCAATTTTCCAGGTTACTGAAGCTTATCCTTAAGGGTATCAAATTAAAAAACAAAAATCTTGAGGATCAGAAATCATTCTTAAAAAACATTAGACACTCTCCTAATTTAATCTTTCATTGGTTATTCAGTATCTTCATTACAAACCCTGTAAAGATACGCCCCCACAGAAACTTTCTGAAGTATAGTATTGGCATCACTAACTCAAAATCACCCTTCCTTAAGTTATTCTGTCTGCTCTTGATAATTTTTGTCTCCTTCCTCACTACTGAGACTGTATTATAATGGTATAATGCAAATATACCTATACCTCAGCTATGGTTAAGAAGCCAAACAACTCCATATAATGAAATCACCTATAAGACAGAGTAAATTTACAGTCCAGGTTACTCTGCTAGAGTAAAGAGTAAGAAATGTTGTCCATTGCTTTTATAAAAAGTATCTTGGCTTCTCATAAGGTCAGAGTTATCTACAGAAAGCTTAACTATGTTTCAGATAACTGAAATGTTTATATAGAAAGAATGTGACATTAGTATAAACAAACAGAGATGGCAAGTTATCCAGTTAGCTGGTCTGGGAAAATGCCCTAAGAAAACTAAGCATTCAGGAACTCCTGCTATATAAAATAGATATGAAATCCTATCTCAAAATTACCATGAGAGAGTGGCGCAATGCCTTCTGTTCCCAAGGAGAATGGTCTTATCCCCTGTGGCGGTAACAGAAACTAAAATAAATGGCAAAGGGTTGGGATGCTGAAGGTGTAGAGGTAAGAATCCCAGCCTTCAATAAAGACCTGGGTCCCTACTCCCAGACCAATTATTTACTTGTCTGACCATAAGTCACTCTCTAAATCAAAATCACCTTACTCATAAAGTGAGAATTATTTCCTCACTTCTTCAAAAGGCTACGAGAATTAAAAATCAAATCAAGTATGAAAGCACTCTGTAACCTGAAAAGCACTCTACTAATATTCTTTCAACAATTCAATTTGAAGCTCATTATAGGTGTCATAGACAGGACTGACTACATTTTACACTTTAAAGAAAACTCCAACTTTTGATTTACTGTCACCAAAGAGGCTGATACCTCATATCAAAACAGAGATTATATCTCCCCTAACTTACATATTGGAAACGAAGAGGAATTTACATAGATATGAACAGTGAAGAAAATGTACCCATAATTCAAGGTTCATTTGGTTTTAATGTGCTAAGTATCCAACCCCCTTCTCTAAAGGATATCTCAAGCTTTACTAAAATAATCTAGGAAACCTCTATTTCTATTATCCTTTAGCTAGAAGCCACTCACATAGCAGGTCTCAAATATTTCTAGTATTGCTACTTATTGAAAGGTTGATGGTCTGACAAGCCGCTGGTCCTTTAAAGAGACATCTTGGGTTCGCTTGCCTCTTAAAATAATGGTTCCTTAAGTTTTCTGTCCCTTCCCCAAGTTATTTCCCACTTCTGATTCCACCATCAGTTCCTTTTTTTTTTTTCCTTGAGACAGAGTCTCACTGTGTTGCCCAGGCTGGAGAGCAATGGCATGATCTCAGCTCACTACAACCTCCCGATCTGAGGTTCAAGCAATTCTCCTGACTCAGACTCCTGAGTAGGGGGAATTACAGGTGTCCATCAAAAGCCCAGCTAATTTTTGTACTTTTAGTAGAGACAGGGTTTCACCATGTTGGCCAGACTGGTCTTGAACTCCTAATCTCAGGTGATCTACCTGCCTTAACGTCCCAAAGGGCTGGGATTACAGGCGAGAGCCACCACACCTGGCCCCAGCATCAGTTTTTACAATGAATTACTGTAGAGAGATTTACCAAAAAAATAGTAAGTTCTACAAGCCCTACAAAATTTCTGCACTGCTTATCTAAGATATCAAATCAGTATTTTTCTTCACAAGGGGAACAGCATATCAAACAAGGTTTGCAAACTTTCTCAGTTCATGGTTATCATCCTTAGTATCTTGGTAATTTTTCCCAAGGCACTACTAAGTCTCAAATAAATAACAACTCCATTTATTAAGCAGTTAGGTCAAAACAACTAAGTAAGTATTCATGCCTATGAGCTTATCACCTGCTGAGCACTACAATACTTCTCAAACCTTGAAGTTCAACTAGATATCACCATCCTCATTTTACAAAGCTATTACCCATGTCTAACTGGATTAAAAATGTAAATTCTAAAGTAAATACATTTACATCTTTTAAACTTAGGACTTTAGAGAAGAACTTACCCAAATCAAAATCATACATACAGTAGGTCATCAAAATGTCATGAAGCAAAATCAATCCTGGATTATCTTGGCCTTCATAAAACTTGTTTGTTCTATCTGTTCTGTTAACATCTTTTTCTGAAGAGGAAAATCATCACATATTTGAAAACCTTTCAAAAAACAGATTCTTACAAAGCTCACATATTACAAGTATGGAGTCATTTTTCTTGCTATTAATTTCATTCAAGAAGCTTCACTTAATGAATAAAAAATTCATCAAATTCTATTTCCAATATGCAATAAAGTAACATTTCAGAATTTTTTCAAGAATCAGTCCTTCTCCTCATGGGTAGATTTTAAAATATTTTTCAATTTTTATCCAAATATAGAAATCTTTTAACTGCACAGCAGAAAACACTTTCAGTGAATTAGAAGCAACACTAATAATTTGCATTAGTAACAAAAATGCCAGTCATTAATGCATGTTATAGATAGTAGTACCTGAAAACTAAAAAAAGAAAAGGCTACCCACATAATCAAACATAGTCAAAAAGATTTGTTTAATTCACAATTACTGCATTCATTATAAGAAGTACCATCAAATTCTTTGTCATGTTTCATAATCATCTTTAGGACAAATTATTTCCTTATTTTCATATCTACACCATTTACTTTAGATATCATTATAAGCTGGAAATGACTTCATGAAAAACAGATTTGGAAACATCATCATCAGTGTGTCCAAAGTTGTACTGACAATTCACTTCACAAACACTGATGCCTACTAAATGCATCATGATGTGGGACACTTACAACAAGGCATTCTCCAAACTTGAATCTCTCAGTAAATTAGGAAGAAAAAACTTAAAGAAACTCTTGATTAATTTACTCAAGAATCAACTGTTTAAAAGTGATAACTGTCTACCCCCAATTAAACTGAGTAACTTGAAAACTTTCTCAAAACTCTTTACAAAGAGATGAAGAGGTCAGGCACAGTGGCTCACATCTGTAATCCCAGCACTTTGGAAGGCTGAGGCAGGCGGATCACCTGATGTCAGGAGTTCAAGATCAGCCTGACCAACATGGTGAAACCCCGTCTCTACCAAAAATACAGAAATTAGCCAGGCATGCTGGCATGCACCTGTTATGTCAGCTACTCAGAAGGCTGAGGCATGAGAATCGCTTGAACCTGGGAGGTGGAGGTTGTAGTGAGCCAAGATCATACCTCTGCACTCCAGCCTGGATGACAGAGTGAGACTCGTGTCTCAATAATAAAAAAAAGATAAAGAGATACAACAGAGTAGAATCTAACAATAGGATATGACATAAGCTTAGATTCTATAAGGGCATTTAAAAAAATTATTAAAATATTTTAGCTTTCTGTTAAAATGAACATTTGATTTTTAAAAAGCAAGCAAATACATACAGAATTTTGATGCATTTCTCAAACAAGCAAAAGTAATAACAAAAAAATATGATACTTATAAAAAATTTCAATTAAACATATCAAAATGGGCCAGGTACAGTGGCTCATACCAATAATCCCAGAAGTTTGGGAGGCCAAGACGGGAGGACTGCTTAAGCGCAGGAATTCAAGACCAGCCTGGGCAACATGGCAAAACCCTGTCTCTTCAAAAACATAAAAATTACCCAGGCATGGTGATACCTGCCTGTGGTACCAGCTATTCAGGAGGCTGAGGTGGCAGAACCACCTGAGCCTAGGAAGTTGAGGCTGCAGTGAGCCATAATGGCACCACTGCACTCCAGCCTGGGCGACATAGTGAGACCCTACCTCAAAAAAAAAGTCAAACTGCTTTTGTCTCATTTCACAATTGATAAATAATAAGTTAATTTTTATTAACTCAAGCATAATTTATATTGTCATAATGCCAATTCAGAATATCTGCCTTAATATGTTTTTTAAACATAGTGTAAAAAAAAGTTGTAGAACTATCAGTATTTCTATTTGTATAAATATTTAATAGTGACAAGCCAGGTGAAAAGCAGAAAAGGAATAAAAATGATATATGAAAATGCTATTTTATAATTATTTCTAGAAAACCCATTTCTGAAAAGAAAATGAGTACTTAAGCAAAAAACAAAGTTCTTAGTAAATCTAACTCTCCATCTAATAATTTGATGTAGCTAAAAAAAGGCTGAAGAAAAACAACCACATTGACTGACCCCATTTTATATTCACCATCACTAACATCAAGTGGGTTCTAAATGCTGCCTGGCAAGCCTGCTCTATTTCCCTTGTCATTCACTCCCTATTCCTATCTCAATGCCTTTTCTTTCTTTCTTTTGCCTGACTCTAGTACCATGCTGAATAGGAGTGGTCAGAGTGGGTATCCTTATCTTGTTCTGTTCAAGGGCAATGCTTCCATCTTTTGCCTGTTCAGTATGATGTTGGCTATGGCTCTTATTTTGAGGTTATGTATCTTTGATGCCTAGTTTGTTGAGGTATTCAGTTTTATGTAATCTCATGCTATTTTTTGATATTTTGATAGTAGCCATTCTGACTGGTGTGAGATGGTATCTCACTGCGATTTTGATTTGCATTTCTCTAGTGATCAGTGATGTTGAGTTTTTGATATGCTTGTTAGTCGCATGTATGTCTTCTTTGGAAGTGCCTGCTTATGTCTTTTGCCCACTTTTTAATGGGGCTGTTTTTCCCCTTAAGTTCCTTACAGAAGCCAGATATTAGACTTTTGCCAGATGCATAGTTTGCAAATATTTCCTCACATTCTGTAGGAGGTGTGCTTATTCTGTTGATGATTTCTTTCACTGTGCAGAAGCTCTTTTTAAGTTTAATTAGATCCCACTTGTCAATTTTTGCTTTTGTTGCAATTGTTCTGGTGTCTTTGTCATGAAATCTTTGCCCATTCCTATGTCCAGGATGGTAGTGCTTAGACTGTCTTCCAGGGTTTTTATATTTTAAGGTTTTACATTTAAGCCTTTAATCCATCTTTATTTTTGTATATGGTATAAGAAAGCGGTCTGGCTTTAATCTCCTGCACAGGGCTAGCCAGTTATCTCAGGATCATTCATTGAATAGGGAGTCTTTTCCCCATTGCTTGTTCTTGTCAGCTTTGTCAAAAATCAGATGGCTGCAGGTGTGTGGCCTTATTTCTGGGCTCTTTATTGTTCCATTGGTCTATGTGTCTGTTTTTTGTACAAGTACCATGCTGTTTTGGTTACTGCAGCCCTATTGTATAGTTCAAAGTCAGATAACATGATGCCTCCAACTGTGTTCTTTTTGCTTAGGATTGCCTTGGCTATTTGGACTCTTTTTGGTTCCATATGATTTTTTTTTTTTTTTTTTTTTTTTTGAGAGAGAGTCTCGCTTTGTCACCCATGCGAGAGTGCAGTGGTGAGATCTTGGCTCACTGCAACCTCCATCTCCTGGGTTCAAGCCATTCTCCTGCCTCAGCCTCCCAAGTAGCTGGGATTACAAGCATGAGCCACCATGACTGGCCCCCATATGAATTTTTAAATAGTTTTTTCTAATTCTGTGAAGAATGACAGTTGGTAGTTTGACAGGAATGCTCCGAATCTGTGAATAGCTTTGAGCAGTATGTCATTTTAATGATACTGATTCTTCCCATCCATGAGAATAGAACATTTTTCTATTTGTTTGTGTCTTCTCTAATTTTTTGAGCAGTGTTTTGTAATTCTTGTTGCCAAGATTTTTCACCTCCCTGGTTAGCTGTATTCCTAGGTATTTTATCATTTTTGTGGCAATTGTGAATGGGACTGCCTTCCTGATTTGGCACTGGGGATTCGTCAGTGCACAAAACAGGCTTGTTTTAGACTGTCTTCCAGGGTTTTTATAGTTTTAGGTTTTACATTTAAGTCTTTAATCCATTTTTCATTTAATTTTGAATATGGTGTAAGAAAGGGGTCCAGCTTCAATCTCCTGCATATGGCTAGCTAGTTATCCCAGGACCATTTATTGAATAGGGCGTCTATTTAATAATAGACTCAGCTTGGCTGTTGTTGGTGTGTAGGAATGCTACTGATTTTTGTACATTGATTTTGTATTCTGAAACTTTGCTGAAGTTGTTTATCAGCAAAGGGAGCTTTTGGGCCCTGACTATGGGGTTTTCTAGATGGAGAATCATGTTTGCAAATCGGGATGTTTGATTTCCTCTCTTCCTATCTGGATACCCATTATTTCTTTCTCTTGCCTGATTGCTCTGGCTAGGGATTCCAATACTATACTGAACAGGAGTGGTGAGAGATCCCCCTCCCTTTTCAAGTTTCTATTCAAATATCACTTTCTCAGTTAAAGCTGTCTCTGCTTGCCCAAATTAAAACTGCAACATTGCACACAAACCTCCTAACCCTCTTTCTTGCCTTATTTTTCTATTTGGCATATATCACTAACATACCACATATGTTACTTACTTATCTGGTTTACTGTCTGTTCTTCCCCCACAGAAATGGAAACTCCTTTAGGGGCAAGAATTTTGCCTGTTTTGTACACTGATGATTCCCCAGTGCCTAGAGGAGAGCTTAGTACATAATAGGCACTAAGTAAATATTTATTAAAAGAATGAATGAATGTATGGATGCTTAGAATAGTCAGTGTGGTTTTCAGAAAGATCTTTTCATGATTTAAACCCATTTATGACAGAGGTTGTCAAATTTTTTGTGTAAAAAATCAGACCTTGGAGATGACCTTGAAGATAACTCCTAGAAGTTTAGCATTCCAAGAATGGAAAACCAGGCATAAACGGGTTAATGTGTTGCCAATGTTAGAAACCACTTCTCTAAAAACTGAAATTCCTGAGCCTTCTTTACTGTCTCTTTTTCCATTCAATGGCATATCTGTTTACCCAAACTTCTATCTCCTGCCAGACCAGTCCAGACTATTTAACTAGTTATTTGACATTGCATTTGTATGTTTCACCTTGAGGTATATATATCTTAACACTTATTTCAATTTCACCATACCCCATTTCTCCTCAAATCTATAAGGCATACCACTAACTGCCTAAGTTTTCTAGTCAGAAACTGAGTCCTATTTTTTATTTCTTTTTTCCCTTCACACCCCACAATTAATATATCAGAAAGTCTTACCAATTCTACCACCAAAATGTAACTGGAATCCACCATTTTTTTTTTTTTTTTGAGATGGGGTCTTGCTTTGTCACCCAAGCTAGAGTGTAGTGGCACAATCACAGCTCACTATGGCCTCAACCCCCCAGGCTCAAGTGATCCTCCCACCTCAGCCTCCCAAATACTGGAATTACAGGTGTGAGCCATCATACCTGGCCTCACCTACTTCTTTGTACCTTCTCAACTACCATTTCTTGCCTGGACTTCTGCTTTCTACTAACTGGTCTCCCTATTCCTACTCTTACTTTGATTGAATTTCCACAAAGCAGTAAAAATGATTTTAAAATATAAATAAAATACTCTTCCTTAAAAAGCGTCAGTAAGTTCTCATCACACTTAAAGTAAAATCCAACTTATTGGCATGTGTGCAAGATCTAAGGCTTACTGTATAGTTTTGTTTTTAATAAAGTAAATGTATATTGCCCAAAAAGCTTTTGATAATCATTCTCAAAATACTTTTGGGAAAAAGCATTATAGAAACAGAATGCTTTAGTAACTTATTTTATATAAACTTCTACTGGCAGAAAGCATGAAATAGCTGAAAGGCCACTTAAAAATTAGATCTGAATATGAATGAATCTGAGCTACAGATCTAACTGGATAGATGGCTTAAGGCAACTGACTAACCTGTTCTGGGATTCAATTTTATCTGTTAAAAATGAATAAAGTAGGCAAAAGTATGTTTCAAAATTCAAAATACATTATGAGGACTTAAAAATAACTAAATTTTTCTACCAGTCTCCTGGAAAGGATAATACTATGGCATGAAAGGTTGAGAATATCAGAGACATCAACACTGATGCTTGATATAAAGGGAAGAGGATATGGCATGCAGAAAGAGGCTTAGAATACAGGCTTCCCTTCCAGTTCGAATATTTTATGCTCAAGCAGGAATACAACATCAGAATCCATTATTTTTCTAAGTCAAACTGAAAACAGCAAGAAGTTTCAGTTAGAAACCTTAGATAACTTCACAACTCGGGACTCCCAACCATTTGCCTTAATCAGAGGAAGGTCACAGTTTTTTCTGGTATAATTTATACTTCAGAAAAAATAAATTCTTTTTGGATCAAAAGTATCACTGCCAAAAAGATCTTGTTTTTATGTCCACAAACGGTACCAAATCAGCCTGTTCTGTTGGGCTTTCTAAATATAATTCAAAGAATTATTTCTTCCATGGGAAGGTATTAACAGCAAATTCCTCTATTGTTCTTTATGAAACCACAAATATACAAATCCAGATACAACATAAGAATTTCAAACTAAGTTCCAGTACTATCTAATGCTATCTTAAAACTACAGAGACAGTGTAATAAGAACATTAAACTGGGCTCTATACTTATTAACCGTGTGACCTGGGACACGTCATTTATGCTCTCCATGCTTCAGTTTCTCATCTGTAAATGTAGATTATGAACTGCAACTAATGCTTTTATGATAAAATTCTATCAAGCATCTCTTTGTTTTAGACAATAGTTATCTCCAGGTAAATATTTTCAAATACTAAATTTTTATATCTAGAATCATTTATTTAATTTTAAGAATGAAATATATGTACATCTAAAGAAGCTCTGGAGGGATATAAACCAATACCTATTAACTATAACTATCTCTGGGTGACAGAAACAAAAATAATTTTTATTTTCCTCTTTTTGCTCATCTATAGTTACTAATTTTTCTACAATAAACAAACTTTCATAATAATGAAAAGTTTTTTTAATAAATAAAATTAATAAAACAAGCAAATAAAGGTAAACAATCTTTTTGAAAATTTCATACTTTGAACTGAAAATTAAATATATCAGCACTTATAACTAGACTTACTGAATTAATATGCCTATTGGAAGAGGAACAACAAAGAACATTAACCACACATAGCAATGTACTTTCCTATTCTGATTTCTCTTTTGAGCCCTAGTGCTCCAGCATGTATTTTTACTTTGTTAATCAAGACTTCAATGTAATCCCCTCTTGCATTTCCAAAGTTGTTAAGAAAAAAATTACCGATAAGACTTCTATAATCTCTTAACCTCGAATTTCTTTTCTCTTGTTCCTGGCTGACAGATTTCCACTGCAGTTTCATTCTGAAGTATTCATCACTATAGAAAACAATTTGACACCAAAGAAAGCTATTTGAAAACTTTATTTTTAACATTATTTAATTGGGTTTTTCTATAAACAGTATATCAAAGTATTTATGATAGTGGGATGTAAGTTTATAAAAACAATAATGAAATGTTTAAAATTCTGACAAATAAGTGAAAACAAAAGAAAAAAAAGCTATACATGCCACAAAGTTTATGTGGTAAACTTTGTTCCAACTACTAGAATTTTAGGTATGCTTTGACAAAACACATTGAGACAAAATCATTTATCTCAATCCTCAAAATCATATCTAAAAGTATTCTAGTCATGAAATATTTTAATCACTTAAGTTTTCAAACAATTGTAAATACAAATCTAAGTGACTTTTTAAAAAAAAATGTGACATTATAATTCTATTTCCAAGCAGTTTATTCCAGAAACTAGTTAATATAAAAATGTCTTAGAAGAACTGGTAAACATGCTGAAAAGGGAAGACTGTCAGATAACTTAAATATGCATATAATGATTAAAAATAGCTTTAAATCAAAGGCTAGACCGAAAACTGAGAAAAAGAAGTTGTACCTGAAAATTTGGTCTGTGTTTCCTTTCAAGTCTGAGAAATAGCTTAAAATAGAAATATTCTTCCAAAAGGAATGAAAGATCCATTATAAGAGTATCAGAAAAGTAACTTGGCCGGGCGCGGTGGCTCAAGCCTGTAATCCCAGCACTTTGGGAGGCCGACGCGGGTGGATCACGAGGTCAAGAGATCGAGACCACCCTGGTCAACATGGTGAAACCCAGTCTCTACTAAAAATACAAAAAATTAGCTGGGCATGGTGATGCGTGCCTGTAATCCCAGCTACTCAGGAGGCTGAGGCAGGAGAATTGCCTGAACCCAGGAGGCGGAGGTTGCGGTGAGCTGAGATCGCGCCATTGCACTCCAGCCTGGGTAACAAGAGCGAAACTCCGTCTCAAAAAAAAAAAAAAAAAGTAACTTAAAGATAATTAATCTAACTAATAAATATATTTCTTATAAGCCAATTTTATAATTTCATAATGAATTGTAAAAGTGAATCAAGACGAATGACAGATTTTAAGTGTATGTCTAAATAGTCATCTTTCAAGTATGCAAAAGGTTTGTAAAAGGCTTACATAAGGGAAATGAAATATGTTTATCTTCTTTATACATATTCACAAACATAACTCCAATGAGAGCCTTCTAATATGTGTTTCTGATTTAAAATAATTAGAAGGCTCATAATTTTTAAATTAAAACACTAAAAACGAAGTTATTTTCCTATTCCCTAGTTTATTCCAAACCTTCAACTAGAAACCCTATACTAACTTGTATGAGTAGGTTACTTGAATCTCTTTGATGAGCATACAAAAGACCATTACTTACGTTTTTTGTTTTTGTAACTGGGTTCTTTCCTCCTTGGTACTGTCCCAGGGAAAATAACCCAGAAGAAATTTCCATGCTTGCTTTCTCAATGCATGACTAAGTCCCTGAAGAAAGCATGCATATTAAACACATTAATAAAAAAGAATGTAATACTGTAAGTTTACAAAACTTGCATATTCACAAAACTTACATATAAAAACTAATCTTTAAGAGACTGTTTTACATATACAAATAGTTCAATTCAGTGAATACCATCTCTTTTTAAATTCTAGATTCAAAAGATGTCAGTAGCTGCCAGAAAGTTTAAACAGCACACAGGATAAAGTAAACTGTACCGCCGACAGACAGTGGGACTGGTGAGTCTACGCCCAATCTTACAGAATAAGGCAAATGCCACTGGAATGCAGGCCTCCTTGACGTAACCCACATAACTTCAAGTACAGAAGAATATCTTCCCCTAGAGTTAAGGGTATCCCTCTACCCCAAGAACATCATAAGCACCTCACTCTGTCCCACTCAATCCAGAAATTTTAAGGCATCATTCATCAAAGAAATAAAAGAATTCATTCCTCCCCTAAAACAACAAGAACAACAACAAAACACCAAAACAGTAACAATAACAACAAAACCCCTGAATACTAGGAGTTTATAATACAAGTCATAATAGAGTGTTTAAATTACCCCTCTAAATATCATCTGCTTCATATTATCTACATTTAAAATTCTTCCTTCAGAATCAATGTTCTTATTCCATTCTTCCAGTGATACTGGCTCTCTCCTTTGAACAACAGGTCGTTCCCCCAAATCAATCTAAAATAAGATGATAAGCAATAACAAGTACATATTTAACCAGTGAAATAAAAATACATGGAAACTAAATTTAAAATATTATTTTTCAGACATGACTTCTAGTACTTCTAACATCATCCCTTACTTTCCCATGTTTGATTTGTTAACTATAATAGTTAGTATTACATATATTTCCCTTCTACTAAACACACAACTAAATTCAGAAATAGGAAACAGGAAACCTCACAGACTAAAACTATTTGTTATTAAAAAAAAGTTGTTTACTACTTTGGGTTCAATTATATAAGTATAGAATATTCATCATATAAATTCTATAAGAAACCTTCAAACCAAATGATATGCTATATTACTTAAAAAGACAATATATAACTAACTATTCCATTAATCATATTCTAAAATTAGCTTTTCTTCTAAAGTTTGTATTTCTCAGAACTGATTCATGACCCATTAGCTACACTTGGCATTTCTACAGTGTTTCATTCAATTAACAGATGTTGGTAATTTTATAACACTATTTGCAAGATAAACCCTTTAATTAAGCACTAAAATTTAGATATTTATAATTTTCTAACTATGTACAAGTCTAGAATTGTAGCAAATCCCAATGTCTTGCTGAGCACATATTAAAGATCTGCCGTAATTCAGGTCAAAACCCTTCTTACTTAAAAAAGAAAGTACTGCATGAGAATAAAAGCCCTAGAAGTAATGCCCTGACTGGCTGTCTCTGATGCCTACTGAGAAAACATGCAAGTGAGGCACAGAACTAAGAGGCAATAGGAAAGGTTTGCTCTTCACTTACTGCTATGCACTCAATGAAACAAACTTCATTATTATCAAAAGGTAATCAAAGAAAGATTCAACATTGATGAAGAGAGAGTATAAGATAGAGAACAAATGAAGAATATGGTAGTAAGACAAGCATTCGTTGTCAGATATATTAGCAAAAAGTTGTAAGAATAGATTATGGAAAGAGGCAGGTATCACCAAAATTAAGTTTCTATTTCTATAGTACATGTTCTCGTATTAAATATAAGAGGTATATTAATATAAATCTTTACTCACTCTTGTGATGACTTCAAATCCTGGTTCTTCTTGTTGATTTATCTTCAGACCCGGAATAGCATCACTAAGAAAATCTGCCATTTCTGAAGGTGGTCGATGATGTGTAGAGGGATCGCTGCCTCTCAAACTATCAAAAATGTAGTTTGTGACCTTGGAAAATCCTATCATAGTTGCTGTATAAGGGTCCTTTTTAATTTTCTATGCAGTAGGGAGAAAAATATGAGCATTATTAATTCAAATAAAGAAAAATGAATACTCTGTAATTGGCAAAAAAGCAAAGCTTTTTAAAAGAAAAGAAATCAGGACTAAAACAGAGTGTTCTAAGATTATCTTAAATTTTTATTTTCTTTCTTGGAAGAAAAATTTAAATTTTCTAAGCCAATCATTTCATTTAGTTAAAATAGCAGAACAAATGACAAGTTAATGTTACTGATTGAATAGCAGATAAACAAATGATTTGCAGGCTTCACTCAATCTGCATACATCAGAAACACACGCAGTGCTTACTTTCCAGTGGTGAATGGCCCACAACAGCTTTCTTCTGTCTAGCAGTCCTGCCTTCACACAAAAAAAAATATTTCTTGAAGTGTGTACTACCATGCTATTCTGACACAAAATATTTGATGGCTAAATTTAAAAACTCATATTTGATTATTTGCTGACAGTTTAATCTAACTATCTGAATAGTAAATCATGCCAACAAGAATAATTTATTCTGGGACAGTACTACCCGGGAAAAGAGCAAAAGGTTTTTCTAATGTTAAACGCTAGGGTAACTTCTGAAGCCCAAACTACTTGCTCACTCATATTTAGCAAAAATAGTTATCTATTAAATAACTTTTCACAGTAAGAAAAATTATCCTCTTATTTTCTCTTTTAAACAGTGTTTAGTTCTCTCTCTCATCCGTTTTCCTAAAAAGTTACCTCTATATCTTATTAACCTCTATGTTTTAAAAACCAGGAAAAGGAAAAAAAAAGCCAGGTGCGGTGGCACATGCCTGTAGTCCCAGCTACTCAGGAGGCTGAGGCGGGAGGATCACTTGAGTCCAGGAGTTATGGGCTATAGTGCACTATGCTGATCAGGTGTCCGCACTAAGTTTGGCATCAATATGGTGACCTCCCAGGAGCGGGGGACCACCAGGTTGCCTAAGGAGGGGTGAACCAGCCCAGGTCAGAAATGGAGCAGGTCAAAACTCCCATGTTGATCAGTAGTGGGATCATGCCTGTGAATAGCCACTGCACTCCAGCCTGTGCAACAGAGTGAGACCCCATTTCTTGAAGAAACAAAAACAAAAAAAACCCAGAAAAATAGTAAAAGAGTAGCTGGGACACAGCAAGCACTCACATATTGTTAAATGAGTAAGTGAATAAATAAATAAATAAATAAACAATCTCATTACATAGTAATCTGAGTGAAAATTAACTTTACTTTTGCCTATTATTAAGTGTACATTTTTAGCCAAATGCCAAGAACAATACTCAAATATTCTTAGGGGAATTAGATTTTCATGACGTCAAAACAACTTACTTAAATTCAAACCAGATTTTGGCCTAAATTGATCATTAATGAATTCAAACTGACCTACTCTGACCCCTGACCTAATCAACAAAAGTGATGATCTAAATCTACTGATGTCTAATTGTAGTATTATAATAAACACAGAAATTGCTTTATAAGTACAATTACTTATAAAGCAATTTCTGTGTTTATTATAATATTACAAGTATTATAATAATTAAGAACCAAGAAAGCCTCTGAGGAAGCCTCTGAGTCTTGCAAATAATATGGAAATTTACTGTTTCTGTAATATTACAGAGATCAGTTCCATAAAGATCTCTCACACACACACACACATACACACACACACACACACACACACACAGCCTCATTCTGCATACTCTGAGATGAGGAGTTATATAAAATAATACAGTCAGATTAATAGATTAATACAGGATAGATTTAAAAAACATACTTGTATTAAACCATATGCTGGCTCATCAAGAAGATTTTCAAAAGACTGTGAAAGACTCTTATTCTGACAATTCACAAGGAGTGTTCTTTTATCCTGTGGAGATCTACAATAAAAAAGAGGATTTGTGGAAAATACTAATACATTGCATCAATTACTACATGAACAATTACTAACACAAATGTTCCTTACCAAAAAAAAAAAACCCCAAACATTTTAATATTCCATTCTAGAAGTCTTCCATTAATACGTTAGCAAATATTTAGTAACTGTTTTAAGTGAGCTTCAAAACTACATGAAACATAAAATACAAAATTAACAAATACTAAATATACTGTATATAACAGGAGTAAAACAAATACAAAGTGTATTTGTATTCCTGATAAAGCCAAAAGGACTAAATTGTAATGAACCCAAATTCTTCTCTAGAATTACAGTAGAAAAGCATTATAATATATCTGGTTTTATTATTATAAAAAAAGAAAGCCAAAACAGACACTAGGAGTCATCAGTATGTAATATTTACAATACAGAAAATATGTCTTCTTTTGAAATGGTTTCCACATTCATCTATAGCTTAGTAATACTGCAATGTGAGATGTTAAAAATATAAAATACATTAGTTATTTGATAAAGATCATTAATCATGCCAACCATAATTACAAACATACACATATGAACATCTTTTAACATTATTACATATGGTTTGGGTAATACTATGTTTTTAGTTCTTGCTTATTAAGCTCTAGAAGCAAGTCTCTTCACATTTCTTAGTAACTACAGAATAAACAAAATGTTTCCAAAACAGACATCCAATTTCTAGTCATATGACAAATTATCCAGTCTTTTTTCTATTTAGTGAGTTTTATGACTTAGTTCTAATAAATCTACAATTTTTCTATGTTTAAAACAAAAATTAAATGTGTTATTTTGCTGCTATACACCTCCAGTTTATTATAAATGTTTGAGATAAGATCTTTAATAACAGTTATCTCTTCTCAATTTCAGCATAACAGGATGGAACACTAATGCTAGAGGGGATATGAAATCCAAAACAGGATCTTATATTCTTACGTAGTCAGAAACTGTACTCCATCTGCATATACAATAGTAGCTAATAAGACCCTTGGCTTTTTAAAAGGAGCTGAGGTTGAATCATTTGATGTAGGACGAAAAAAAAACCATATATTTTAAAACATTCACTTTTCTGAACATGTTGAGGGATCATAATTAATAGGCATACTTACAGATTCTCTCACGGGGCATTTTTTAAATGATGAACTTTTAAATGTAGCATCAGAAAAGAAAAATAGCTAATAAAGGAACAAAATTTTATTCCTAGCACAGTGCTGCTGGCACTGTCATTTTGTTTCTAACAATAAATTAAATCAAATTATTTCTTTAAAACCCAAATAAAAAATGATCACGAAAGTCAAACCGCTGTCTATTACACACAGAAGAGGAACCAATAGGCAACTCTCAGCTCTCTGGGCTCAGATGATTCTATGGCTCTGTATCTTAAACAGCGGCCAATAAACCGGAGATCAGAAGATGAAATGACTGGCTTACCAACAAGCAACCACAAATATGTTTTTAAAAAGAAATTACTTCTTTTCTTTTTTTATAATTAATATTCTGTGATGCGGGATGGACAAAGCTCTAAGAAATAGGAAAGATATGAAGAAATTTAAAACCTGATTGCCCAAAAGGAAATCAACAAAATATTTAAAAAGTGTATCAGTCAAAGGACAAGTAGTATACTGCTATACTGCTAGGCAACTGCAGAGCTTACCATAAGGAAGATTGGTATTCCAAAATATTACCAGAATATTCTACCTGCCACACTGATTTAATCTAAAATACGTATCCTGGGAAGCTGATCTCTCATGCTAACATTATTCAAGACTTTCAAACTCATTGCAAAAGTAAGATGAAACTTTAATGATGCTAACCCAGCAATTCTATTACAGCCTGCTAAACAATCTGAAGAAAACTGTAGTCTAATATCACAACTATAGAAGCATATCTCCTGAAAATTCTGCAGCGTATCCCAGGCTTCGGAGCGAGCCTCTCCCAAAGACCTCTTAATAAACTCATAAACTGAACAATGCTCGTATACTTAAATGTAGCAGTAACTGTTTTGTATTTATATTGAGAATGACCAATATTTAAGGTTAAAGAAATAAACAGCATTGCAGAGATTAATCAAAACTGGGAATAAAAACTAGAAAGGTACGGTAACAAACTTTTACATCTAGAACCTAATATTTTATTTTTATTATTATTATTATTTTTTGAGACGGAGTTTCGCTCTTGTTACCCAGGCTGGAGTACAATGGCGCGATCTCGGCTCACCACAACCTCCGCCTCCTGGGTTCAGGCGATTCTCCTGCCTCAGCCTCCTGAGTAGCTGGGATTCCAGGCACGCGCCACCATGCCCAGCTAATTTTTTGTATTTTTAGTAGAGACGGGGTTTCACCATGTTGACTATGATGGTCTCGATCTCTTGACCTAGTGATCCACCCGCCTTGGCCTCCCAAAGTGCTGGGATTACAGGCTTGAGCCACCGTGCCCAGCCAGAACCTAATCTTTTAAATGGCTGGTTTAATAGGATACCCAATTTTGATGATACAACCAATTTGGCTTTTTAAGGGAATATTTTACTACTTGGATATTTGCATATCAATGTAAAAATGGCCCAATATACGAAATAATTTAATAAAATCAACAGGTCTCATTCATATCCTAGCAACCAACTTGGTTCCAGAAAGGTAAGAAAAATATATTTGTAGCTCATTCTTTTACCCAAGTAAATACCACATTTTAAATGATAATAAATCAAAGAATACTTACAAACATCAACAAATACGACAACTTGTTTTCCTGGCAAATAAGTAAACCATCTAAAAAATATTAAGCCTCAAGAAGATGGCCTGTTTTGCACTGACTAGATCACGTTGCTGACACTGAAAGAAGTAACTACAGGTGACTAGCCTAGCAGAGCCTCTTCCTGGCTCTTGTGAGCCATCTAGGTTGCCCATTCCTAGATTACTGGCAATCTCTGCTCATTCATATGGTAAGGCCCTGCTCCTGTAAGAGGAAGGCCTGCTTTTTAGGAAGATAAATATAATTCACTAGGAAGTAGACTGGGAAGCCAACATGGACACAAATGCAAGCCACATTCCTCAATTTAGCTAAATCAAAAATAAAAAAGGTATCTGGTCTAATTCTCTTGGTTTTGAACTCAAAAGAAGAATGGTCACACTGGCACAGACTGGCTGGCATCCCAATGAGGCTGAAACCAAGATTTCCCTGACTACTCTTTCTTTGTGGTCTCTAAAACAATCTTTGACCATAGAAATAAGACTCTGGAAACACCATTTTGCTTAGGATAACTGCTCCAAGGACAGGAAATGAGACTCCCCTGGCTGACACCTAGTAGAATAAAAATTGGGTATCCTATTTAAATATTTTCATTTCTTTGAACTTAAAAATTTGGGAATTCCACTAACTTGTATCATAACAGGAATAAGTGTCTTTACATTTCTCCTTAAGAATTTTACAATTCACAATAACAAAGATATGAAATAAACCTAAATGCCCATGAATGTTAGGCTGGATAAAGAACATGTGGTACATACACACCATGGAATACTATGTAGTCATAAAAAGAATGAGATCATGTCCTTGATAGCGACATGGATGGAGCTGGAGGCTATTATCCTAAGCAAAGTAATGGAGAAACAGAAAGTCAAATACTACATGTTCTCACTTATAAACTGGAGCTAAACAACAACACATGGACACAAAGAGAGGAGCAAACAGACACCAGAGCCTACTTGAGGGTGGAGAGTGGAAGGAGGGAGAGGATCAGAAAAACTACCTATCAGATACTATGCTTATTACCTAAGTGACAAAACTGTCTGTAAACCAAAGCCCTATGACATCCAGTTTATCTACTTAACAAACCTGCACATGTACCACCCCTGAACCTAAAATAATGTTAAAACAAAAAATAATCTGATAGTAGGAGATGGCTTATACAAATTTGTGACTTTTAAATACTGGTGAAGATTTACTTGGAATAGCTTTATTCTACTACTTAGACTCTATAAAATCTATGGTGAACTATATGGCATAACAGGGGATAATTCATGACAGGAAGGAGAATAGGGAGCACTTATTTTCAGCCTAGAATATGGAGGGGCCTTGGAGATAAAATATCTGATGCACTGTTTTTACACATTTCAGATCATTCATGGGTCAAAAGTAAGTTGCCCTCCCAGTGTCACAGGAGAATACCCAAAGCAGTGACTATTAGGAGAGTAGCTTTTGACGTAGACACTTTAGACACTATCTCCTTCTCCAAGAAGAGCAACCACATCCTGGGGTTCACCAAAAACTTAATGATTAAGCCTAATGAGAACAGAACAAAGTATACAAAGCTTTTTCTCTTATCAAATCGTTAAAGGGTGGAATTACTTTAAGCTTTTTCTCTTTTACCAAATCATTAAAGGGCACAATTAATCACTTACGCTCACATCTCTTCCAACTCTATCCTCCCCTTCACTGATTTCATTCTCTCTCAGAGTTTCAATCACTCCTGCACAAGGAACACTTATATATTATCCTAATATGCTGTTATAGTACCATATGCCTTATTCACAGCACTTTTTATAGCTGAAATTTGAGGCAGAAGCCATGTCTTTTGATTACTGCTTTCTTTCCAGCAAACAGTACTGCTGCATCTAAGACACAGTAGGCATTCAAAAAAATACTTCAATGAAATGGAAAAAAAAAAAAAAAAAAAACATGTAGAAAGAACACCACCATTCTGTGGCTTCACATTTCCAAATGGAAAAAGCACTTCTCCTAAAGTCTCCTTCCCAGGGTCTTAAGTGCTGCGATTGAGAAAGAATAGGGTACATGCTTGGCATAATTCCTTCTAGGCTCTCTCTCCCTCTCTCTCTTAGATCTGCCTATCAACAGAGAAGGTACTTTCATTCTGCTCTCATTCACGTCCTGAGTGGCCTGTCCTCATTAGGAAAGTCTGTAGGTGTCAAGAAGTAACAACAACAACTGGGTAAGTTAAAAACTAATCTGGAGTGAATTACTGTAATACTATATGTCTAAACCCCTCTAATAACAGTATTTTCATTACCATCTCTGATTTTTTTTCTTTTTTTCACAGAGTCTTGCTTTGTCACCCAGGCTAGAGTGCAGTGGCACAATCTTGGCTGACTGTAACCTCTGCCTTTCAGGTTCAAGCAATTCTCCTGCCTCAGCCTCCAAAGTAGCTGGGATTACAGGTGCCTGCCACCATGCCTGGTTAATTTATGTATTTGTAGTAGAAATAGAATTTCACCATGTTGACCAGGCTTGTCTTGAAACTCCTGACCTCAAGTGATTGGCTCACCTTGGCCTCCCAAAGTGCAGAGATTACCATCTCTGATTCTCATACTTCTCATTTACTTACGAATTTAGAAAAGGAAAACAAGCTTTCACTTGCTACTCTCATGAAAACACGAACAACACACATTCAGGGTACATATTCCCCTATAACTGCTTAAGTGGTTATCAAGACTATCCTTGAACCCAATCAGGATAGAAAACTCTACCTCCTGGGCTAAATCCTGTCTCCTAATTTCTTTTTGGAGTCATATAAAGCAAATCTACAACTTGTTTCTCACAATAACCTTCCAAAAATTATTTGTCAAATTGATAATTATTATGCCATTTATTCATCCAACTAATATTTAATGCAAATATATTTTGTACCACTGTGGCTAGCAACCACGAAGAATACGGAAACAAGATAGATACAATCTCTATTCCCAAGAAGTTTATATTCTAGAGTAAAACACAAAACAACAGACAAAATTATTGTATGCTGTTAGGTGCCATGAAGGAAGCAAACAAGAAAATTAGATAACGAGGAGCAGAGACAGGAAAAGTAGATTAGATGGCAAAAGAGGGCATCATGGAAAGCCCTTCTGAGGCAGTGACATTAAACGGAGACCTCAGGGATCAGAAAGAGGAAAATATTCCAAGTAAAAAAAAAAAAAAACAGTATGCATAAAGGACCTTAAGACAAGGCCAGGCGCAGTGGCTCCTGCCTGTAATCCCAGTACTTCGGGAGGGTGAGGTAGGAGGATTACCTGAGGTCGGGAGTTTGAGACCAGCCTGACGAACATGGAGAAACCCTGTTTCTACTAAAAATCTAAAATTAGCCAGGTGTGGTGGCACATGCCTGTAATCCCAGCTACTCAGGAGGCTTAGGCAGGAGAATCACTTGAACCCAGGAGGCGGAGGTTGCGGTGAGTCAAGATCGTGCCATTGTTATCCCGCCTGGACAACAAGAGCAAAACTCCATCTCAAAAAAAAAAAAAGACCTTAAGACAAGAAAGAGTTTAGGGGTTTTTAAGAACTGAAAGAAATCTATCTGCAAGACTAGAATATAAAAGATAATGGCATGAGATGAGTTTTAAGAGATAAGCAGAGCTAACAACAAGGGCAGGTCCTTGTTGATGACAGTAAAAGTCTGGATTTTATTTAATGTTGCATTGAAACTTCTTCAAGATAAACTCCCACATCCTTCAAATATTTTTCATAGGACGACTTTGATCTCCTTCCTTACACTGGTTATATCTTTAATACAGTATAGGTAGTCTAGAACATTTAAAATGCAGTGTTTACTAATTGCAGTTCAAGCCTACTTCTCCAAAATATAATCAGTAAAAAGTAGTCAGGGGCTACCACCTCCCTCATCCTAGATACTATGCTTTAATCAACAGTCTCAGACCAAATGATCTCATTTGTGAATTACTTCACAACACTGATACTGAGCTTAATATGGTGCTAAAACTCCCAAGTCTTTAATGCCTGCTACACAATAACCATAACCTTCTATTCCAGTCATGACACTGCCTCTCCTGAAATCTACTCACCCTCTCAATGATAGCCTATTCACAGGTTCTCACTTTGAGATCCAAGATCCACACATCACCACCCAGGTCTGACTTTCTTACACTTACTGGCACTGAACAGCTTGTCTATTGCCAGTCAGAGGTGATTAATATAGTAGGGGAGAATCTCTTGCCAGAAAACATACAGTCAAAAACCTTCCAATTTTTGTATCACTTTTAACCTTATGTAATGTAAATTTAGGCAACTTGTTAAATTCTACTATAAAGTGAGGACATTATAAATGAAGTTTATAAATGAAGTAACTCACGCCTGTAACCCTAACATTTTGGGAGGCCAAGGCAGGCGGATCACCTGAGGTCAGGGGTTCAAGACCAGCCTGGCCAACATGGCAAAACCCTGTATCTCTACTAAAAGATACAAAAAGTAGTCGAGCATGGTGGCACATGCCTGTAATCCCAGCTACTCGGGAGGCTGAGGTGGGAGAATTATCTGAACCCAGGAGGCGGAGGCTGCAGTGAGCCAAGATTGAACCGCACTCCAGCTCGGGTAACAAAGTGAGACTCTGTCTCAAAAAATAAAAACAAAAATAAAAAATAAATAAATGAAGTTAGCAATCATATCCTGCAATTTCCCCAAGCCCAAACCCTTAACTTCTCCCTTCTTGCTGCCATATATCCAATCCATCACAAAATCTAATTCTAAGTACTCCAATACTTCCAACTTTCCTGTCACTATCCCAGTTCAGGCCACTTTAATCTCACCTAGATAACTGGAAGAACCTGCTAACATGACTTAAAAGATGCTTCAGGCTTTGTACTTTACTCAGCATTTTGGCCTCATCTTTAACGGTATTACCCTCATCTCCCCATACTTTGCAGATCTGTAATACTGAACTACTTTGTTCTGTGATTACATCATGTTTGTGCTCTTCCCTTCATCTAAAACAACCTTCTCTCTAAATATCCCCTATCCTTTCCCAATAATGGTCACTCATTTTTCAGGTCTCTACTTAGATGCTTCTTCCTCAAGGAACTCTTCCTTGATCCCCACTCCTAGTCTGAATTAAGTGACCCTCCTTCCTTCTCAGGAGCTCCCAAAGCAGTTTTTACTTCTTCCATCTTATTTCTTGAGTTTTAATTGCAATTTTACTTGATAACATCCTTCATAAGACTATAAATTCTCAGAGATCCAGGAACACCCCCATTTTATTCATTACTAAATATCAAGCAACTAGCATACTGTTGGGATGTAACAGATAACCAAAAAATATTTGCTGAGAGTAAGAGCGAGGAAGCATGTGTGTGTACAGATGCACACAGGTAACTAAATCAGAAACAAGATTTTGGAAAGTGGTAAGGCCCTGTCTTCCAACTGAGAAATAATTTTATAAAGGACTTAGGACTTGTGTGACTTAAAGTTGCAACATTACAGGTAAAATTGTATATCTAATAGAAAAAACATAATAAAGGGTAAATTAGGTAAATATATAGTCCATAAATTACTTACGCATCATCATCCATTTAAATGTATAAAAAATATAAAACTACTCTTTTCTTGTAACAGTAATTAGGTTGTAAGTCTCAGATTCAAATTACTAAAATAACGTAATATTATTCAGTCATTGTTCCAAAGAAATCAATATCCCAGAAAAAACAAAGCTGTTCAAGTCATCATATGCACATGGGTCACTGATGCCCAAGGTCAAGTAAAAATAGTTTGCTTCAGGATTAATACAATGATCCGGCTTCAAAAAGTAGAAAATAATATGATACTTACTCACACAATACCACATATTTTTCAAGAGATTCAATCAGTAGTTTGCTATCTCCTTGATGAAAGTGTAGAGCAGGGAGAACGACGTCATCCTTTAGACAGAATACCAAATACGACCAGCCCATACCCTCTTTGTTTTGCTTGATTGATTTCAGGTCTGTCAAACTGAACAGGAATGACCATTTGCTTTTCTCATTTCTATGACTTGGAGCATCTTAAAAACAAGAAAGTGGGGCAAAATATTTTTGTTGACCTTTTTAAAAGGTACTGACAGCGCTCTTCATGACTGCCTAACATAAATTAATTGAACCCAGGGAATCACTATAGCACTCATATAATGGCTTCCACTTGTATTAGATATGGCAACTTATATATTCTTTTAAAAATGATTTTAAAAATAATTATCCTACCACATATAAATTTTTTAAATGTTATTCCTATGTAAAATATAAGCTTTGCCCCAAAAAATGATCATGGTTTTACAAGCAGGCTGGCTGGATAAACATTGCAGCACTACCATCTTACTAACTGAATGATCTGAGGCAAATAATTGAATTTCTCTGTGCCTCAGTTACTTCACTTTAAAATGGAGATAATTATACTTACCTCCCAATGTAATTATATTCATAAAAATTAGGAGATAATACTTTTCAACTAACTAGTACAAGCCAAATATATAGAAAATTCTCAGTAAATGTTCATCTTTCCCACTCCCCTTGCCATAAGAATAGCATAATTCTCTTGAAGAGTCATTTAAAAAACAACAACAACAACCTTTATTCCTTCATTTCCTTTTCTAATTATTTTTAGGACACTACACTAGTAGTAAAGTAAGCATTCTGATATAAAAAGTAACACTGGAGTGAATATACAGACATTTTATTTGTAGAAAAACAAAGTAAAGCATGGAATTGAGGATGAAAAGATAACTAAGTTGTGAATGCTTCAAAAATAACGAATACATTCAATCTTCCTGCTAAATTAACTTTCTACTAAATTAAGACCTCAGTTCAAACCAAACTACAGTTATGCCAAATACAGCATGTTCTGAGGTTGTATCCTATTTATAGAAACTAAAATTCTGGCTGGGCACAGTGGCTCATGCCTATAATCCCAGCACTTTGGGAGGCCAAGGCAGGTGGATCACAAGGTCAGGAGTTCGAGACCAGCCTGGCCAAGATGTTGAAACCCTGTCTCTATTAAAAATACAAAAATTAGCTGGGCGCAGTAGCATGCGCCTGTAATCCCAGCTACTCAGGAGGCTGAGGCAAGAGAATCGCTTGAACCTGGGAGGTAGAGGTTGCAGTGAGCTGAGATCACACCATTGCACTCCAGCCTGGGTGACAGAGTGAGACTCTGTCTAAAAAAAAAAAAGAAACTAAAATTCCAGGTTTGTGAACATTATCATAATTGATAACAAACAACTTAAACAACAACTATTTAAATAAAAAACTGAAAGACAAAGAAAAAATATTTCTTCTCACTGATGATGCTAGTACTTACAATTCACTTCTAATCTAAAATACCATTTTGTTTTAACAATTTAACTCCAATATAATCAAATCATGTCTTTGAAATCTTGAAAAACCTTTCCTAAAATGCATTTCTTAGAAGTGTCATACTACCCCGCTACTCAAGATCTTTATTAATTCTGTCCCACACTACCAATCCCACAAATATAAACTACTTGTAAGACAGCTGCTTACAAGACTTGATCAGAAGACAGATTAATCAGTGTTGACCTGCATGTATATATCACCTCCCTATCTCCGGTCATCTCCAGTAAGATCCCTTGAACTCACAAAAAGAAATCTATAGCTTACAGAAACCTCTAACTGCAAGGAAAGCATGCGCCATCATTATTTCATGGACACTTATGCATCATTTGAAGGAAGCAAAAGTAACTTATCTATATACAATTACCAGCAGCTTTCACACCAGTTTGGATAGTAAACTCATATGTAAGATATAGCGGATTAAGTGCCATGTGCCTGACTACGTCACATGTTTCACTGGTATCCATATTATAGAGCTCATTAACACCACTTCAAGCTGATATCTAAGTGAGAACAGTTCTAGAATTTCAACTTATTCATGAATCATGTAAGTGTAAATCTACTTAGACTACCTAGAACAGATATATTCTGCTAGCTTATCTGCAAACACCAAAAATATTTCACAGAAAAATAGCAATGAAAAACTACAGGTTAAAAAAAGAAACCAAAAAAACTGCATATAGACAATTTTTAAATTAATTCTTCAATTGCACAGTGTATTTTATCTAAATTAATGCAAGAAAATCACACGAATTTTAACTACATGTATGCTATATGAATTATCTGGAGTTTGTGCATATTTAAGAGTAAAGGTTTTACATAGATTTTTCTCTCAATAACAGAAGAGTCATATATTACATACAAAACTAAAATGCCTCACACACTTCCACATTTAAAGCTCTGACAAAGAAATATTTAAATTTAAAGCCCTGACAAAGAAATATTCTAGTCCCTCCACTAGAATAAAAGCTTCATGAGAACAGGACTTTTATCTTGTTCACAGCTATATCCTCAGTGCTAGAAGAGTGGCTAGCATACAGTAGGTACTCAAAGATGAAAGATCTGTTGAATAAGTGAATTAACAACCTAGTACTATGTCAACATAAGAGTTATGTGCAAAGTGGTCTGCTGCAATAGCTAGCAACAAATAGAAATGGTTACAAAGGAAACCAGAAATCAAGAGTTAACTCAAAATATCTTTCTACTCAAAGCAAAGGTAAAGAAAATTAATTAGTTCTAATGAATTTACTGTGTTACAAATACATGTAAAAAGTTATCTCCAACACACTGACATGAGAATACTAAATATAATAGCAGAAGAATAGAACAAGCAGCTTTAGTCTTCTTGTAAGAGTAGAACAGTTCAGTAAGTAGCTATATGTCTTGAATTAACATCAAGGACACATTTTATTTGGATAGATCTCTAGAATATAAGCCAGACTGATGTTCTTGGAAGAAATATTTCCAAAGCATTTAGTCTGTCTGGTACATAACAACAAAGGATTTAGCAGTAGAAGCTCTTATGAAATATAAAGCTAAATGCTCTTAAGAAATACAAATTTAAATAAGTCTGATAGTCAATTTTTTAAAAGTTTGTCCCAAATTTCCTTTGTGCTTCACATAAAAAAGAAAAAAATGCAAAGTTAAAAATGAGAAGGGTAAAAGATAAGAACAAAGGCTTCTTCTTTGGAGGGGGGAAACCTTTTAGAAAATAAAAAAGTTGTGTAATGACATACATTTAAAATCTCTGGAATGTCTAATAAACCTCATATTATAAATGAACCCCCAAGCTTAGAAAATGCCTCCTTAACTTTTAATAACTATAAAATAAAGTCTATTCACTTTGTAAGTCCACTCTGTGGTCAAGCCATAAGCAGGATTTACATCTGTCATTTTTTGCTAAGCTACACAGCTACAGAGAAGTTCTCAACTCTGATCCCACATTAAAGTCATCTGAAGACCTTTTAAAAAGGACAGATGCCCAAGCTCTATCTCCAGAGTCTGATTTTGGTATTTTTTTTTTTTTAAATCTAACGTACCCAGGTGATTTCAATGTACAGCCAATGCTGAGAACCACCAATCTAAAGTGAGCTTCACTGTCAGATTACGTTTTTCTCATCTATGGTAACGGTTCTTTCTTTCATGAAATTCGGGGCTACAAACACTTACAGCAATATTACTATACTGAATACCACAGGCAACTGTAACACAATGTTAAATATTTGTGTATCTGAATATGTCTAAACAGAAAAGGTGATGCACAGTGCTTTGATCATACAAAGGCTATGATGTCACTAAGGGCCACAGAATTTTCAGCTCCATTATAATCTTATGGGACCACTGACACATATGCAATCGGTCAGTGAAACGTTGTTCTGTGGCACATGACTATATACATGTAGAAAGGAGAATAGTCACTGAACACATATTAAGGGAAAACTGCAATGAACCATGAAGAGTGCAGCAAAATGCTGAAATCGGAATACTATGGTTTAGTAGTATACTTCATCTCCCCCTGTTACTTTAGGATAAAATAACATGATTATTAAAATTCTACTAGATTAAGAAAAATGTGCATAAAGGAGAGTAAAGGCATTTTTTTAAGTGGTTCTATTTTCTGCTATTAATAACTATAAAATAGAGCAAGTATTTTTAAAATCCTTTTTGAAGCCACAACCAATAAAACAGAGACATAAAAAATAACTAAAACATGAGATTTATACAAATTAAGCAAAGAAATTAATCGTCCTTCCAACTGAGGAGCATTCAAGAATCTTCTTTGCACTTTTGTTTATTAGTATATTATATTATAGCAAATCAGTTTAAGATTTCAAAAGATTTAACTCATACCTCCATTGGTATGTGGTTTCCTTTTAAATGAAACTGTGTTAACCATGTCCCATTCTGCTTCGTAGCTGTTCAGATGTTCTGATCCTCGATGACCTCTTTCTTTTGGGGCCTGAGTCCATTCTACAACTGAACTGGAATCCTAAAATAATTACAACACATAAAATACTTAAAGTCTAAAACAAATTTAATTTCAATCCATAACATCATCTCAGTTTCAATGTATGCTGCAGACAACATCATTAATGGGAAAATTGAACACTTTTCCTATCCTTTTCTCTCTTTGATCATAGGTATAAAAAAATAAAAAATAAAAAGCAAGAGAAGCTTGACTGGACTTCCCTGCAGTCAGAGTTGCCAATGAAATATAAGCAGAAGTCAACTCTGAAAATGTGTTTGTTTTCATAATAAAAGCCTCATCCCTTTTTCACTTTTTCCTGCTTTGAATGTAACCATGCTGCCTAAAAATAATCATCTTCTGACTATAGGATAAAAGAAAGAGAACCACTGCCAAAAGCTCCCAACCTCCAGACTTTGAGTTATTTAAGTAAAAGAGCCCAATGGTGGCTATTTAAGCCACTACTGGTTGTATATTTTCTTATAGGCAATAAAATTAGCTAAAAGCAACATATCTACCTGTATAGTTCTATAGAACATCCCATTTTTAAAGAGAAAAAAAACAGAAGTCTAAAATGCATATAGTTTAAGTCAAAAATTGAACTTTTGTACAACAAAAGATACTATATACAAGCTAAAGACAGCACAACTAGAAGAACATTTTTCTAAAATATGTAACAAAAGAAAAATATCCAAATTACAAAACAACTCCTATCAATTTATTTAGAAATAGAAAAATATCAAAACAGAAAACAGGCAAATAGCATGAACAGGCAAGTCAAACAAGAAATATAATGTAACAAATACAGAAAGATGTCCAACTCCACTAACCATGAAAAGCAAGTTGACATAAGATTCCTATTTTTTTCCTCAATTAAAAAAGATAATACTGAATATGGAAGACAGCATGAGGAAATGGACTGTCTCACACTGCTGACAGTGCTCACTACTACTGACACCAGGAGGACAATTTAAAATATTTATTAAAATTCAAAACATGTATGTATTTAACCACAACAACTGCGTTTTTATCATCTACCCTCTGGAAATACTTACACATGTACACAAAGAAGTATATACAAAGATTTTCACGGCAGCACTGTTTGTAATAGAAAGCGGAAATAATCTAATATCTAGCAGTGAGAGAATAAATTTAAAAAGTAGCTAATGAAATACTAGGCAACAGTTTAAACACTGACATATGCTAAACTTTATATATATTCAATAAATAAATACACCAAAAAAGTTGCAAAACAATGCGTGTAGTACAACAATTAAATGCATCATACACAACTAGAAACACAGAAGAAAACTAGGTCTTTCTACACATATACATACACAAAATAAAATATGTACAGGTAAAAGTCTGGAAAAATATACATTAAACAGAGACAGGTAAGAGAGGCTGACTGTAGTGGCTCACATCTGTAACCTCGAAACTTTGGGAGGCCAAAGCAGGCGGACCACCTGAGGTCAGGAGTTTGAGACCAGCCTGGCCAACATGGTAAAACTCCGTCTCTACAAAAAAATTAGCCGGGCGTGGTGGTACACACCTGTAATCCCAGCTACTTGAGAGGCTGAGGCAAGGAGAATCGCTTGACCCCAGGAGGCAGAGGTTGCAATTAGTCAAGATTCTGCCATTGCATTCCAACCCAGTGACAAAAGGGAAACTCCATCTCAAAAAAAAAAAAAAAAAAAAACAAGAAAGAGAGAGATAGGTAAGGGAAAAGACTCTAGTCAAATAGGACTTCAACTTTCTATTATTTGAATATTTGCAACAGGACTGTATTCATGTGTCTCTAGTATAATTTTTTTTTTTTAAAGAGAAAAAGGAAAATTAGTAAGAATGAAAGGAAATTATAAAGGCACAAAAAAATATATAAGAAATGGAAACAAACTAAAAAACAGTAGGGAAACTGAACAAATGAAATTATAAAATAGATTGGTTTTTCTTCCAGTTCCTTCCTCAAATGTCATTTCTCAGGGAGCCCTCCTTGTTTGATCAGTTTTTTAAAAAATCAACCCTCAGGCCAGGCACAGTGGCTCATGCTATATTATAGGCACTTTGGGAGGTCAACGCAGGTAGATCACATGAGGTCAGAAATTCAAGACAAACCTGAACAACACGGCAAAACCCCATCTCTACTAAAAATACAAAAATTAGCCAGGAGTGGTGGTGGGTGCCTATAATCCCAGCTACTCAGGAGGCTGAGGCACGAGAATCACTTGAACCCAGGAAGAGGAGAATGCAGTGAGCCAAGATCGCACCACTGCACTCCAGTCTAGGTGACAGAGAAAGACTCCTTCTCAAAAACAAAACAAAACAAATTTTTAAAAAAGCTCTCACCACCATCCACCATCCCTATTGGTAGTCATGCCAATAATAAGGATAAAGGTCAACCTGAAGACAGGGCAACTAAGTCCAAAAGGCTGGAGTTTTAGAAAACATCATTTATCTCTAAAGTAGGAGAAATCAAACACGATGAGCAAAGGAATCACATACTGAAACCAGGAGAATGAATTGAAAGTCAGCCTATATAAAGAAGTTGGCAAGACTCCAAGCCCTTTTTATCCACTCATTTTCAAGAATACTGCCATCCAACCTTACCCTCTCCAGTCAGGAATCTGCAGATTCTTCTCAAATCTATTATCCCAAAAAGACTTGGATTTTGACATTAGGGATTCCCCAAGGAAACAGCATAGTAGTCGTGCATGCAAAAAGTCTCACTATTACCAGGCCGATACACACCTACAAAGAAGGTAGGTATGCATCTGCTCTTAAATTTGTTAAATATGAGCACCATGCTACAGAATCAACAAACATTAAAGGCAAGTTATCTATAGAAAACAGAGTCCAAATGAAATGAGGTGGCAGGCGGGGCAAAAGGTCACTCAGAGGGAAATGGACTATATAGGAAGATGAAAATCATCTAAAAAGCTATCCTTAAACTCCTCGGAAATCAGAAAAGACATTACAACCACAAAGAACAGAATGCTTTCTTTAAAAGGGGACAAGAGGACGCTCAGAACAAGAAAGATGTCTAAGTAATGAAATGATAACAAAAATGAAAAAAGCAACAGAAGATTGAAAGTATTTCCTAGAAAATAGTACAGACAAAAAAAAGGAATAAGAAAATAGAAAACAAAAGATTTTAAAATTATGGGACCAGTCCACAAAGTGTGGAGTTCCAAACAAAAAGAAAACAGAAAATGGAAAAGAAGAAATTATCACTAACATAAATCAAAACTATTTCCCAGAATAAAAAAAAAAAAGACAGGAGTTTCCATATTAAAAGAGTTCATCAAGTACCCAGTACAATATATTAAAAAAACAAATCCACAGAGGCACATACCCAGAACATAACACTTGAAACAAAAAGACAATCATTAAAAGCATCTAAAGAGGTTAAAATTATGAAGAAAATAATAATACAGGGGATCAGGAATTAGAATTCATTAGACTTAATGTCAATAAAGGAAACCAGAAAACCTGAGAAACCAGCAAAACTTAAAAAAAATAAAAAATAAAACCAGGTGCAGTGGCTCACATCTGCAATTCCAGCACTTTGAGAGGCTGAGGTGGGCAGATCGCTTGAGGTCAGGGGTTCAAGACCAGCCTGGCCAACATGGTGAAACTTTGCCTCTACTAAAAATACAAATATTAGTCAGGTGTGGTGGCGCACATCTGTAGTACCAGCTACTCGGGAGGCTGAGGCAGGAAAATCTCTAGAATCCAGGAGGCAGAGGTTGCAGTGAGCTGAGATCCCGCCACTGCACTCCAGCCTGGGAGACAGAGAATGACTCCGTCTCAAAAAAACAAAATAAAAAAATTCAAAAAAAAAATCGATGGGAAAATTTACTTTCAAACTGTAAATCTTTGCTGGCCAGGCTATCAATTCAGAATAAGGCCAAAAATTCTTAAAAAAAAAGAAAGAAGAAGAAATGTTTTTGTTTTCATGTACTCTCTTTCTGAGGAAGCACTGAAGCTGCAGCAAAACAAGGAATAAACCAAAACAGAGGTTGGCATGGGATACAGAAAACAGAGGGATTAAAATATGGGAAAGACGCAAAAAAGAACCCCCGGAAAAATGCTACACAGCAAACCAAGGGAGCAATCAGTCCAGGATAAGCTTGTGAGAAGGCTCTGGGATAAGAGTCTCTACAAAAATGAAATTAGAAGGCAATCTACGTATTTAAATAATCTGAGAAGAAATGTAGACAACTGAGCAAGAGTTTTAAGGTGATTCAAAGATAAAACAGAGCTAAATCCCTACCTTCCACAGTGCAGCGTCAACACATAATATGTAAATTAGAAAAAAAATAGTAGTGTTACAAGAATGCTATTTAGACATAGGGCTGTAACTAGTCAAAAAAACACTACAAGGTTTGATTGTGACTGCCATGAGAGATGGAAAATTTGGTGGAAAAGTAAAAGTGCCTCTGTTTTCCATAATAAACCTTCTAAAACATAAAATTTATATCAGAATATATATAATTTAAAATAGAATAAATATTATAAATAATAAAATCTTTTGTAAAAAATTATTAGAAAATATTGATCAGATACATACAAAAAGCACAAAAATATAATAGAATTGGAAGTACAAACATTTAATAAAAAAACTGTTCCCATTATAAAATGGAATTCCTTATCTCACATTATATAAAAAAATTAACTCAAAATGAATCATACATGAGAAATTATTTAATGGGTACAATGCACATTACTCAGGTGATGGAGACTTGATGGGAAAGTGAGGAAAAGGGAGGGAAAGAGAGGACGAAAGAAAAAAAACAAATCACCAATCTAAATATAAAAGCTAAAACTAAAAAACTCAGAAGAACAGCAATACATCTTCATAACCTTGAGTTAAGCACTGGTTTTCTGGATATGACATAGCAAAAGCACAGGCAACAAAATTTAAAAAAAAACAGACAAATTGAACTTCATGAAAATTAAAACTGTTTGTGCTCAAAGCATACCAACATGAAAGTGAAAAGACAGTCCACAGTATGGGAAAAAATGTCTGCAAAGTACACACCTGATGTGAAATTTATATATAGAATATATAAAGAATTCTTAAAACTCAACAATAAAAAGACAAGTAACTAGCCTATAATCCCAGCACTTTGGGAGGCCAAGGCAGGCAGACTGCTTGAGCTCAGGAGTTTGAGATCAGCCTGGCCAACATGCTAAAATGCTGTCTCTACAAAAAATACAAAAGTTAGCTGGGTATGGTGGCATGGGAGGCTGAGGTGAGAGGATCACTTGGGACAGGAGGCAGAGGTCGCAATGAACCAAGATCACACCACTACACTCCAGCATGGGCAATAGAGAAAGATCCTGTCTCAAAAATAAAAATAAAAAAAAAATAACTCAGTGGGCAAGGCCGGGCACAGTGGCTCATGCCTGTAATCCCAGAACTTCAGGAGGCTGAGGCAGGCAGATCACCTGACATCAGGAGTTTGAGACCAGCCTGGCCAATATAGTGAAACACTGTTTCTACTAAAAATGCCAAATTAGCCTGGCATGGTGGCAGGCACCTGTAATCCCAGTTACTTGAGAAGATGAGGCATGAGAACTGCTTGAACCTGGGAGGTAGAGGTCTCAGTGAGCTGAGATCAGGCCATGCCACTGCATTTCAGCATGGGGGCAGAGCAAGACTCTGTCTCAATCAATCAATCAATAAATGGGCAAAAGATTTGGAACAGGCATTTCTCCAAAGAAGATAGTTGGCCCTCCATATCCCTGGGTTCTGCATCTGCAGATTCAACCAACCTGGAATCTAAAATATTCAGGAAAAAAAAATTCCACAAAGGTCCAAAAGGTAAAACTTGAATTTGCTGTGCACCAAGTACTATGCTACATTGAATGGAACCAATACCCCACAGATACCAAAGGACAGCTGTATACATATATGACCAAATATCCCATTAAAAGATATTCAACATCATTAGTCATTAAGAAAATATAAATTAAAAACACAATGACATAAACTTCAGTTATGGTTTGAATTGTGCTGCCCCCTCCCAAAAAGATAAAGTTCTAACTCCTATTACCTCAGAATGTGACCTGATTTATTAGGTTGTTGCAAAAGTAATTGTGGTCTTCGCCATAAAAGCAATGTCAAAGATGTCAATTACTTTTGCACCTACCTAATGGAAATAGGGTCTTAATAGAGGTAATCAAGTTAGAATGAGATGATCAGCATGGGCCCTAATCCAATATGACTAGCACACTTATAAAAAGGGGATTAACAAGATAGACACGAACAGATGGAAGATGATGTGAAAACACAGAGGACACCATCTACAAACCAAACTAATTTCTGAGGCTACTAGAATTTAGCAGACAGGCAAGAAACAGATTCTCCCGAACAGCCCTCAGAAGAAACCTATCCTGCTAACACCTTGATTGCTGACTTCTAGCCTCCAGAACTGGGAGACAATAAATTAAGATTGTTCTAAGCCACCCAGTTTGTGGTGATTTGTTTACAGTAGTCCTAGGAAACAAAGAAAACTTCATATCCACTAGATTAACTAAAATTAAAATGATAATAACAAGTGTTGATGAGGATATGGAGAAATTAGAATCCTCATATATTGCTGGTAGATTAGAAAATGATGCAGCTGCTCTAAAAAAAGTTTGGCAGTTTCCCCAATGTTTGTAAACACAGAGTTATGGAACCCAGTAATTCTACTCCTAGGCATATACTTGAGAGAAGTAAAAACATGTTCACACAAAAACCTGCACATGAATGGTCAGAGCAGCATTATATATATTAGCCCCAAAGTGAAAACAACCCCAAATGTCCATCGGTTGATGAATAAAGTTGTGATATATCAATACAGTATTATTCATCAAAAACAAAAGTACCATACATGCTATATAAAATGGAGGAACCTTGAAAACCTTATGCAAAATGAAAGAAGCCAGTCACACAAAAACTACACTATTACATGACTCCATTTATAAGAAATGTCTAGAATAGGCAAATCCTTAGAGACAGAAAGTAGATTAGTGATTGCCAGTGACTGAAAAGTAGGTGAAATGAGGGTTAACTGCTGATAGAGTTCTGAAGGGTGATGAAAATGTTCTAAAATTAGTTAGATACTTGTGGATGGCTGCACAACTCTGAAAGTAAACTAAAAACCACTGAACTGTATGTTTTAAAAGGATTTATGGTACATGAATTATATATCAATAATACTGTTATTTTTTAAGTGGCATTCCCTTAGTCACACCTTTTTTTTCTTAAATACCTTTCTAGCATAGAGAATACTAGAGGAATCTAATGCATCATCCAATGGTCTCCAGTCCACTATTACTTCAGCATCCTAAGGAAAGAAATTATGAACTACATTTAATAGTAAGCAATATGTTACTTTTAAATTTTATTCCCTAAATCCAAAATAAAAGTTCAGCCTCTTAAATGTTAACATTTTAAATATGCTAGTATCATATGCAAACCAAAAATGTTACACAGATTTTTCAAATTCTGCCTACTTTTTATTATGAAAAAATTTATATTACTGCAACTTCTATGTAAGTTTTAGAATAATCCATGTCATTTTACCCCCTTATCTAAAGTACAGATGGTCCCTGACTCATGGTTACTGAGGATTTTTTTGTAATGGGGTGGTATAAAAGCAATGCACATGCAGTAGAAATCATACTTCAAGTAACCACAGAAACACTGTTTTTTACTTTCAGCACATTATTCAATATACTACATGAGATAATTAACACTTGATTATAAAACAGGCTTTATGTTAGATGATTTTGCCCAACTGGAGGCTAACGTAAGTGTTCTGAGTACGTTTAAGGAAATTAAGCTATGATGTCCAGTAAGTTAGTATATTAAAAGCATTTTTGACTTAATATTTTCAATTTATAATGGGCTTATCAAGACAAAACCCCATAAGTCAAGAAGCATGTGTTTTACTATTACATCTTTTCCATGTTACATTTACAACTACTGTTCAATTACATAATTTTATCTTACATATGAAATTCAAACTTTCTGATAATTCTCCGAAGATGAATCACTACCATAAACTATTATTAAATAAAATCATTTACTAGAAACTTACCTTTTCTAAAACACGTAGTATTCCTGAAATCAAGCTGTCTTGGTCATTGGTCTTTCCACAAGATGAGTGAATATATACTCCTTCCTGTTCATATATAATCTAAAACATCAAAAATAGTTAATCACATATTTCTACTGAGTACTACTTTAACATTTGTTAAAAATATTAAGATATATTTTCTTATCACAGTTGGTCAAGTTTCTGATCATTCCATATATACATGTGTGTTTTTAAAAAATACCTCTTAGACTTAAAAGTACGTCAAGCAAACATAAACTTGAATGAATTCTGCTTTGTTAATGCATGAAAGTTTATCAGATTCGTAATCATCACGATCTTGATCTCCTACTTAAACAAAGAAGTCAGACTAATGAACAAGTCTCAATATATAAATTCCACTTAAAATTTACACTTTTCACTAGATGCAGTGGCATGTGTCAGTAGTCCCGGCTACCTGGGAGGGTGGGCTTGAGCCCGAGTTCAAGGTTGTGGTATGCTACGACTGCACCTATGAATAGCCACTACACTCCAGCCTGGACAATACTGCAAGAAGTCATCTCTCTCTAAAAACAAACAAACAAACAAATATATATAAAAGCATTAAGGAAAATACTGAGCTCGAATTGAAAATATCTAAGAATATGAACAGATGAAACACAATGAGGAAATCCTTCCTAACTATTCTTATAGTAGCATTAATTTTAGTGTAAGATCATTTTGGTGTGTTTCTGAAACACCGTGGCATGGAAATTCAGAAAATAATACAGGAATTTTAAAGAATAGTGATTAGAACAAAAATAAATAGAGTAGTGATAGGGATGCCTCGGAATGACTAAACTAATTCAATTTCACATTAACTGAGTGCTTCTATATGTAAAAAACATAATGGCCAAAAGCACATGAAGATGATAAAGATACAATCCTTGAATAAATTCCTATGGGAACATAGGGGAGACTTAAATTAACTTCTAAGTAAGTTTAAATATTTAAAATTAAGTCTTATTTTCCATAGACATAATGTTATAAATTAAGATTCCATTCTTCAGATCTATTTCAAACCATTTTAAAAAAATTTTAATTATGAAAATAAGTAACATAAAAACAAAACAGTCACTTCTAGACCTAAGGAGTTTTGACATATTTAAGTCTGGAATACAGCATATTATCCTATTTCTGTAGACCTTTTATTAATATTAGTCTTCAGAATATCATGGGCCAGCAATGCAAGATAAGCACATCAGAGTCTAAGACTCCTTCACTCATAAATATAGATGGACATGTATCTTCCTGCTTTTAGCTAGCATTTATGGAATACTTATACAATAGAAGCTCCGTATGTTGTAACTTAATCCTTACAACCGCCCTAAACTATAGATTATACAACTGTATTCTACCACTTCATTGGGATGAGGAGCCCATTTGTGTGAATAAGAAAACTGAAAAAGGTTAAATAACTGCACAAGGTAAATGAGGCAAATGATAATAGGTGGTGAAACTAAAACCCAGTGAGTCTGAGGACAGAAAACTGTGCTCTTAGCCACTACAATATAAACCTTCCACATTACTTTTACTGCTTCTCTCTTGTGTTTGTTATGTTAAACAACTATGATATGACTTGTCAGGAAAGAGTCTTTTAAGTAATCAAGATCACCAGGGAAGTTCTGATTTTAATTTAAGGCCGGGGCAGTGGCTCACGCCTATAATCCCAGCACTTTGGGAGGCCCAGGTGGGTGGATCACAAGGTCAAGAGATCGAGACCATCCTCGTCAACAAGGAGAAACCCCATCTCTACTAAAAATAAAAAAATTAGCTGGGCATGGTGGTGCGCGCCTGTAGTCCTAGCTACTCGGGAGGCTGAGGCAGGAGAATTGCTTGAACCCAGGAGGCAGAGGTTGCGGTGAGCCGAGATCGCGCCTGCACTCCAGTCTGGGTAACAACAGGGAGACTCTGTCTCAAAAAAAAAAAAAAAGAAAGAAAGAAAAACTTAAGTAAGACGGCCTTACCGAAAAACCTAGGTAAGCACCAGACCAGCATGTAAACAGAAGCTTACATGGGGACAGGATGAGCTGAGAAAGGGTAGGAGACAATTCTATATTGTTTGTACAGAGATGAACAATTTTAAAGCCTATAGATATATGCATAAGAATATTTAGAGCAGTATTATTTATAATATAGAGGAAGGAGAAGGAGGAGGGGAGGAGGAAAGGGAGGTTATGCACCTAAACATTCACAAATAGGAAAATTACCAAATACATCCTAGGATATCCATTCTATGGGGGATACTATTCAAGAGTTAAAGGATGAGGCAGATTAAATGGATGAGCAAACAGACAATGTACACAGAAAAATCATCATGTATATATAGCATGCTGACATTTACACTTTTAAAAAGTTTGTATCTCCATTAAATGCAAAGAACAAATTCTGGGAGGATACTTTAAGCTATTAATAAAGATCACTTTGGGAGAAAAGGATGATGAAAGGCTGAAAGAGAACTGTTAACTTTCTATGTTAACGTCTCTGACTTATTTGAATATTTCAAAGTGAAAATACAGTCATATATTAAAAATAATTTTAAAGAGTAACATGAAAAAAGGAAAGCCTAGAAGTATAAACTAAACTTTCTAGACTTCAGTTTAGCAATTTATAAAACAGGAGGGTGAACCAGATAATCATATCTAGGAAGACAAAAATACATGAAAAGGTTGTGGAAAAGAAATCCCTTAAAATCTCAACCTTTTTCAATATAATTTTATTAACTTTAGTCTGCATATTGTACATTAGTTCTCTAGACTTGTTCATCTGTGTATCTATTTTCTATCCTTTGACCTACAACTCTCCATTTCCTAGCAACCCTGTGACAACCACTGTTTAATACTCTGTTTATCTGACTTGTTTTTGTTTTTTGAGACAGAGTTTTGCTTTGTCACCCAGTATGGAGTACAGTGACGCAATTTCAGCTCACTGCAACCTCTGCCTCCCAGATTCAAGTGATTCTTCTGCCTCAGCCTCCCAAGTAGCCGGGATTACAAGCATGCAAGCCACCATGCCCGACTAATTTTTGTATTTTTAGTAGGGACGGGGTTTCACCATGTTGGCCAGGCTGGTCTCAAACTCCTGACCTCAGGTTATACAACAGCCTTGGCCTCTCAAAGTGCTGGGATTACAGGTGTGAGCCACTGCACCTAGCCCTAAGGAGTTTTTTTTTTTTTTAATTATACATATTCCACATATAATTGAAATCACACAATTATTTTTCTTTCTATATCTGCTTACTTCACTTAGCATAATGCCCTCCAGTTAAATAAGCAGATTTTAGCTGCTCTTGTTACAAAAAAATAACTATGTGAGATGACAAATAGTTAATCTACTTCATTATAGTAACCATTTTACTATCTATATGTATCCCATAATAAGTTGTAAACCTCAATTGTACATAATAAAATTTATTTTAAAAACGATATTGAGAAAAATATTCTCAAGCTTTTGTGACAAATGGATCAGAGAGACATACCCAGAAATAACACTTCACATTTTCACATAAAACTCAGCTAGCATGGCCAGGCGCAGTGGCTCAAGCCTGTAATCCCAGCACTTTGGGAGGCCAAGGCAGGTGGATCACGAGGTCAAGAGATCGAGACCATCATGGTCAACATGGTGAAACCCCGTCTCTACTAAAAATACAAAAAATTAGCTGGGCACGGTAATGGGTGCCTATAATCCCAGCTACTCAGGAGGCTGAGGCAGGATAATTGCCTGAACCTAGTAGGCGGAGGTTGCAGTGAGCTGAGATCGCGCCTTTGCACTCCAGCCTAGGTAACAAGAGCGAAACTCCGTCTCAAAGAAAAAAAAAAAAAAAAAAAAAACTCAGCTAGCAGAATAGTTGGGAACTTCCTAATTCTCATAGTGGAAAAAGAGACACTCATTTGGCAAGAAAAGCTTGTTATCATTAATAATAGCAATCTAAGGTTCTATGATAACATTAACACTAAAGAGATTCTGGAACCTTAATGAAATGAACCCTATAGAATCAAAGGAAGCATTTTACCTTATTTAGGCACATTAAGCAACTCTTCCTCTTACATTTGTTGGTTAAGTGTTGCCTATTTTTTTTCACTTAAGAAAAACTTGAAAGAGTTTCTTAAGTAGGTTAGCTGGGAAAATAATAAAAATTAAAGTGACAGACACCTTACAAAAAAGTCAAAGTAGCACTCATTCTGTATTGTATTCCTTAACTCTTCAGCATTTTTTGAGGAACAAATTATGCATCCCCAAACTCCTAATTCCAAACCACATATATACTGTTTTCAGAAAGCAGTAGTGTTTAGGTTTCAAATTTTCAAGGGTGTGACATTAACTAATACAAACTAACAGTTGTGCCAGAAATGACAGATTAATAAAATTAATAAATATATTAATTTGTGATAGCTACGAAACTTTAAAAAGTCTTATATTTTATAAGACTTAAGGGCACAGGAAAAAAAAATAGTGGCATTGGTACATAATTTACTTAAAATATAAAATCACTTAGTGATAACCATTTTAACTTAAATATAGGTTGAGCATCCCTAATCCAAAAATCTTCAATCTGAAATGCTCCAAAATTTGCACACCAACTTCAAGCTCAAAGGAAATGGACCTTGGAACACTTACGTTTCATCAGCTGGGTATGGTGGCTCACACCTATAATCCCAGCACTTTGGAAGGCCAAAATGGGAGGACTGCTTGAGTTCAGGAGTTAAGACCAGCCTGGGCAACAAAGTAAGACCCTGTCTCTAAAAAATAAATAAAAATTTTTTTAAAAATTAAAGACTGGGGATGCTCAACCAGTATACTGCAAATATTCCAAAATCTAAAAAAATCCAAAATTCAAAACACTTTTGGGTCCCCAGTATTTTGAATAAGGGATAATCAACCTTTAGCACTTTGTTTCCAAAGTACTCTGATCTCATTCAAATCCTCACCATCACCCTGAATGAGTCAAAACTGGTATGTTATCTACATCTCTATTTTATGAAAGAATAAATTGAGGCAAGAGCCATCAGAAATTCTGTAATCCAATCTTTCATTTGATAAATATGTGGTCTTGAATAAAGTCA